TTTTAATTAAGTGGTTTTTGCTTTAAATAAAGTATAGTAAGTTTAATATAATACGATTCAAGTAATCAAGACATGAAAGTACAGTGCCGGATTAGTTATAAAATGGAGTAGGCACTTACTTTAGTTCCAAAATATAAGTTCCGAATTAACAGATATAACTTGTGAACTAGAACTCAACTTATGAATACTACACAAAGGCAAAACTTACAAGGAGCGCCAAAAATTATACATATTTTAATAGATTGTTACCAGCATTGAAAATTCATAAATGTTTAATCATTAAGAACACTACTGGTGAGCGGATCTTTTCAACTGTTTTTTTTTTTTTTGGAAAATTGATCCTCGGTTACAAATAACGGTTGAACTGTAGCATCATAATGGCCATAGAACACTACGGCTACGATGTCCTATAATTCTATTTCTAAGTACTGACTTCACATAAAAAAATGAAAGTGGAACTATGAAGTTCAAAATTAGAAATCAATTTTGCAAGAACATTGGCCTCGCTACTTTAACTTCTTAGGGTCATCACAATAAAATACGCTCTATTAAAAAAAACACAATTTTATTACAATTTAATTTCATAAGCTTCCTATCCAATCTTAGCAATAAAATAACAAATGTAAATCAATGAAGATATTTTGTTACAGCGCACGACAAAACCAAGAAATAAAGAAATACGACAGCATCCGAGAAAGATCAATAGGCCAATTAAAAGGCTCCTTTTAAAATGTTGCTGAAGATAAAGTTAATATGCTCTCATAAATAACACATATTCTTTTTCCTTTAATTCGAATTTCTTTTGTATCGTGTACATGGACAATGGCGCGCCAATTGCGATGGCCTGCTTTAGGTTTATTTTCTGCTATTACGCCATTGTCGGGCCAGTAATTGTATCAACATAAAGCGACCTAAGGAATTGAAAATGTCAAACTAAATTTACAAATAACGATTCCAAAAAAATCTGATGAAAGTATTTATTTTTAGTTTCTAGCAATATTTAAAATTGTTTTATGAGATAACATGCCCAGACAAATAAAATGAACGAAGTTAAATTAAGAAATTTTTTAGCATAAAACACCTTAGAATTGTACTTAATAACTAATTTAAATGGTATATATTTTATACATCGTAGACTGTAACTAGTTTAGTTAAAAGATCATACAATAGAAAGTACCTAAGATTTTGGCAACATTCGCCTCCTTACAACGTCATCTCCGGCCTATTTCCATAAAGGCTAACAAAACATTTAAATACATGCTGCTACACAGGGCTTACACGTAAGAGAATGTTACTCGAATATAAATAAATATGTATATAATAAATACATATATTTAAGTTATAAATATGTATATTTAAGTTAATTATTATCTTTTAATTATTAAAGTATGACTCAATTTTGTTGAAATCATTATAAATTTAAACGTTTTTTATCTTTCCTGGCTTTAAAATCATAATGAGTGTTATTATTACTTATGGTTATGACACGTATTACCTATATTCATAAATAAAATAATTGAAATTTAATGTAAATAATAAAATGATGTATTTTATAGACAGATCGCGGATTTTGCTTCAACAGCGCCGTAATTATACCAATTAGTTCTCATTGCAGAAAATAACTTCATTAATATTCCTGCTCGATGTAATAAAGCGGAAGATTTTAAATGACACTATAAATAACGTTTCCTGGCAGATTTTTATACGCGGATACATGTAAAGCGCATCCGCACATGCATTCATTTAATCATAAGCCGGATGTCATGCACAATATCGGTGCTTAGAGCACCGTCTAAAGTTCTGCAACTTTAATTCCTCTGACCTAAAATACCATAAAAAGATGCCAACTTATTTTAGGTTGGAGGAATCGAAATTACATAAAATAAATAACTAAGCATATTATAAATAATACATATGTATGTATGAAATTATAGTTGACTAGCGACTCACCCTCGCTCCGCTCGAAGTTACGTTTTAAAGTTTAGTATAGATTTCTCAGAGATGAGATGTTTCTCGCAGTAAAAAGTATCCTATATGTGATTCGGGTACCAGCTATCATCATAGATACCAAATTTCATCAAAATCTGTCCAGTGGTATTCTCGTGATGCGTTTCCAGTCAGACTGACAAAAATTCTAAAAACTATAGATTCGGGCTCGGATAATGATTATTATCACTAGCAATAAGATTTTCCTAAAGAAATTTATTGTACAGAGTCAACTCAGTATTTTATTATATGTAGATATAGGTAGATTTATTATTCATATTCAGTTCATATTCTACATATGAACGTTATCAAATATTTTCCAGGTTATAACTTCTCTCTCCTTTTTCACGGGAATGCTTAAATTACCTGAAATACAAAGTGCCCCAAATATTGAACATACTTATAAATAATAAATAGTAAAAATTGACAACTCATAAAAACATGTACTATAAAACATCAAACGGATATTTCATAAAATTCCAGAATAAAAGAATTTTAATAAAGTCATGAACATGGCTATAATCTCTTAACTCTGTTGGTTAGTCTGTTGTTTGTTACCTCTTCGTGCTTAAACCGCTAAACTGATTTTGATAAAATTTGGTGAAGACACAGATTGCATCATAGGGGCGGACGGAAAATATAGGATACATTTTATACCTATTTATCTATCGCGATTTAAGATGATAATAAGACCACTACAAATGTAGTTATCAAAAAAAATGCAATATACTCGTATGTACGAACGACACGACCTCACTAGACTTTTTTTTAATTATAGAAGATTCTCTCATATCATATATAATAAATAATAATTCTTTAAATTTTATCAACCTTGCACTATATAGCTCATAATATAATGCTCTAAAATAAAATTATTCAATTGAGCTCTCTACATTTTTCTCTATTTAAAACATGAATATTTGTTATCTCATATGCATTAAAATTTCGCAATCTATTCAGTTAACAAGTAGGTAATTACAAAAGGTAAAAAAAATTGTGACCTATTTAAAATTTAGTAGAGCTCTGTTCAGTAGGTTTAAAGTTTGACACGGATGACTAAACGAGCCTGGGGTCGAATGCACTGAGCAGAGCAGTCGATAGCTACACACGCTGCTCTCAAAAGCCGTCTAGCCACCATTTAAGCCTGTTGACACAAAAATCAGGTTTCAACTCTTGTTCCAGCCGAACTAATCTTGGACCATACTGTTAGTTTTAATAAATAAATATTGGCAATGTCTTCGATAACGTGTTTATATTAAGGTAGTATATTGTAAAGGAAAAAATGACAATATACATATAATGCATCAAATATATATATATATATATATATATATATATATATATATATATATATATATATATATATATATATTTAACGATATCCGTTATTTAAATAAACTCCAAATATTTATTTCTTCAATTGAAGTGAAGTAATCTAAAAGTGAAGATAAAGATGATATCAATAATAATTATATTTTAAAGAAATGACCAAAAAAACATTAGCGAACATTTTAATAGGTATTTCTATAACATATTTGCGCCCTTGCCCGAGTTTCCAGAACATCGGCATCGAATGAACTCGTTATGAACTCATCGACGGCTGAGTGAGTAACTCTTACGGTCCGTCAGCCACTTTCAAACTTGGTCCCCATCTCACGGAATATAACACATAAATAAACATATTGAAAGACCTATTTCATTATTACATAATGCCACTTAAATATATAAGCAATAATTTTTTAGGTTAATAATGCTATATCTATATTTTACTTTTTAAAAAAAATACAGTCGAATTGAGAACCTCCTCCTTTTTCAACCGACTTCAAAAAGGAGGAGGTTCTCAATTCGACTGCTTTTTTTTTATGTTTGTTACCTCAGAACTCCGTCATTTATTAATCGATTTGGACAATTTTTGTTTTGTTTGGCTAAGTAATTAAAGTCTACCTATTAAATACATACCTAATCAAATATTCTCGAAATCGGTGCCAGCCCATACAAAGCAAAGCACACCGACTTCGAAAATATTTGATTAGGTATGTATAGTAAATGAAAACTACCAATCAGTTATTTTTTACTTTTTAGTACTTTTGTTTCAAGTCGGTTTTTATTTTTTTGTTAAAAAGTTTTTATTTTGAAGTCGATTGAAAATTTGTTAAATCCTATAATTTTTCGAAAAAATATGGAATGCTTCGGCGTTGTTGACTAATCAAGGTAAAAAATTTCAAGTTTTATTAAAATACTTATACTACATAATATTATATAGCAACCGTTAAAACGCCTAAGTCGCTAAGTGTAATATAAAACAATAATCTCTTCGTTCAACCGATTGATATGAAAATCAAAGAAATATAAAAAGAAAATATAGCTTTTACACAAAATGAAATTTTTTTGCAAAAAAATATATAATTAATTAATCAATTAATGAACATTTCATGAACCTAGTAAGTTTTCGAAAGACATGTGAAGTCCGCCAACCCGCACTTGGCCAGCGTGGTGGGCTATGGTCTGACCCATGCTCAGCAGTAGGAAGATAAAAAAGGCTGAATACATTAGTAGGAATTGATATATGTACATATTTAAATAATTTTATTAATACTAACGTTAGTAATTATTGAAATAATGAAAATAGTTAAGTTCACTACTTACTTAAATATTGTTTGAGTTTTCACGTAAAACGAGTCCGTTATTTTGTTTCAATCAAAACTTTTATTTCAACACAAAAAAAATTACGTATAAATGTAGGCATAAAACAATAAAAGCTTATAATTTTGACCACTATTTCAATTTTCAATTTAAGCTGTAGCTCCTTCGAGTGTTCATGATTTACAAGCTCTCATTTAAAAAATTGGTTTTATTTATCTGTTCCTCTATTTATATTTACTTTTTTGATGTTAACGTCAATTGACGTTAATCTTATAAAATGTTCAGTTTTTTATATACTTTTATATATTTTTATAGTAATTTATAACTTTATTAAATATATATTTTTTTTTTATTTAAAGCACGTAAGTAAAATGTTTCAAGATGACGATGAAGAAACATATCAAGGAAAATATGAAAATGGCCATTGGGAGTGGGATAGCAATGACAAAATGCTAAACTTTGTAAGGTAAGTATTTTTATGTTCAAGTTATAAATAAAGGCTCTTATTTTCTAGCTATAGATGTACATGGTTTTGCCTTGTAAATTACAATTTCAGTTTTTATATTTTTAAATTAAAAATTCCCTCATAACTTCTTAATAAAAAAACTTAGTGTTATAAATAAAAAATGAATAAATGGATCAATATTTTTATAGATATAAAGTATGCTCCAGTAAGTAATATAGGCTACGTTTGATCCCTATAAATCAGTTATTATCGATATATAATAATTCTAAAGTCAGTAATATAGGAATGGATTTATAGAATCAAGTAAATAAAATTATTAAAAAGATGGCAAATATTCCTTCAATATTACCCTAACTCATGCGGCCTATAATATCTTATTACTGGGTGTATAATTTTCTTAGCGATTTACCTCCTTCACAAGAAGAATTTGATGAAACGACACAGATAATCATACGCATCGCTGAATTTAAAGACGACATTGACTTGTGGGAGCAGGTATTACATTAATTACGAAAATTTTCATATTATACCTAACATGTAAAGTTACTCTTGTCTTGTAATAATGATGATGTTCTCCTAGCCGATTCCAGCCACGGCGGCCAATCTCATTGAGACTAACCAACTGCGCAGGAGATAATATAGTGCACAAGTGTTCGCGCAGACACAACGTGCACTCTCTATTCCTGTCACTCTCATATTCCGGTGGGACGGCTGCTCGACACGACCAGTGAGAGTTAAGGCGCAGGACCGACCGCTTTACGTGCTCTCCGAGGCACGGGGGTGAAACACCGCCAACTTCCCAACTCTGGGCTGTTACTGAGGCTTACTATACAGAAAGACCCAATAACTAAACTTGGCCCGACCCGGGACTCGAACCCAGGACCTCCAGGTGTGTAGCCGTACGCTAGCCACTACACCACCGAGGCAGTAATAATAAGTTGTAATAATAAGTATAATGAAATATAGTCAATTTAAATAAAATATTGTATTTACCACTCATATTACTTTGACATCTGCAGCAAAAATTTAGAAAACGTATACAAAGAAAGTCTGCAGAAGGAGATATAGTTACATTGCAGGTAATGTTTCTCTTATTTGCTATTAGTCCCTGACCGCGACTTCATCCGTTAATACAGACAGCGTAATACAATAATTAATAAGTTCAGACCAGAAATATTTTTAAAGTTGCAAAGTATATAAAAATATCATGCCATCCAAAATATGGTAATATATATATATATATATATATATATATATATATATATATATATGTGTCAATATTCATTTTAATCTGCATTGCGTAACTAAGATTCTAATATTTTCTCAAAAGTTTCACATTCATATAATATTAATATCATTGTTTCCTGTTCATCAAAATTTTCGTTATTATTTATCCTAGTAGAAGGCTCCATGGTTGTATTTTCAGCCTATAAATCGTAATACTAATACCAATATAACATAATAAATACAAAACACAAGTATATCTGGTATCCATACTAATAATATAAATGTGAAAGTGTGTTCTTTTGTTTGTTTGTTTGTTCTTTTTTCAAGTCGAAACAGAGTGACGGATTAGCGTGATTTTTTATGAAGTTAGTTGGAGGACTGGAGAGTGAGTTAAGTGAGAGAGGACGAAATAAAACAACTGTGTAAAAACTTAAAAAAAAATAAACACCGACTTCCAGGCACTAAAATGTAAAACATAACTAAACGGGGCTTTTCATTTAGAATAGATACCTAATCAGATATTTTCGAAGTCGGTATATATTTCGATACGTAAAACACATATTTACCTATTAGATATTCATATCCTAAAATATTGTTGGTTAGTGTAGACGTAATAAACAGGTAATTTATTAGAAGAAAGTTTTTTAATAACATGTTCGATTAAGCAATTTATTTAAAAAGATAAATTATTTGTTGTTTTTAAAAAAACCGCTTGACCGATTTCGATAAAATTTATATGAACCACCTGGGAAAACCCTTTGAAACAAAAAAAAAATTCCAAATCGGTCCAGGCGTCTTCGAGTAATCGGTGAACGTAGGTACATAAAAAAAAAGGTTCCGACGAATTGAGAACCTCCTCCTTTTTGGAAGTCGGTTAAAAATACGATAATTATTTTTAAACAACTGTATAATTTACTCTGAACATAGATTTCAGAGGTTATGAATAATCGTACGATAGAATTGAAAACTAAAATTCATACGAAAACCAGCGAGGAAATCGAATCGAAATATCGTGAAGACTTGGAAGATTTACGCATTCTTATTGCTAAAGAGTACAGCACTATTTTATTAGGTACTTTAATAACGATGATAATAAATTAAATCATAACAACAATTAAGTTAACAGGCTATCTTTGATCCATATTGGGAAGAGTTTATAGTTCATTCCATACAATAATTGAATACATTATTAATACAATTTTACAATTTAAAACAAGTAGTCCGCAATCGCTTCATAATTAAATCAATAATTTCTCTTACTATAAATATATAGCTACTAATTCTATTTCAATTATAATAAGCTGTACTTCATAATGTAAGAAGATGCTGGGATAAAATATTATGCTGGAATAAATTTAAGCAGCTAACCTTTTTTTTTTTTAACGTTCGGAAATGCATTTACGCACGAGGTGTGGGACTCACCGGCGTAATACAGCCAGTACTACCCACTAAAACCCAACAAACCTTCCCCCGTCTTAATGGGGCGTCGCAGGATCGCTTACGCATTCAACTACACAAAGCAGACCACCACAACCATAGGGTTGCTCCAAGGTCCACTCTGCTATCAGAGAAGTACCAGGAGCAACCCGCAAGGTACACCGCCCCCCGAAGAGGGCCACCTCCCACCGCCCACCGAAGTGGACAACCTCCCTACCCCCCGTCGAATTTTATAATGTGGCGATTAAATATGAAAGTTGCGCACACCTAAATATTTTTATTCTATATAATATATTCTTGCAGGAGACAAAAAAATTGCTAAGTACCATCATATGGGAGCAAAAAAAACAACATCTCTTTCCAAGAAAGATGCTTTACTATACGAAACTATAATCCGCATTAGTATACAAATAGTTTGGATTGCACTCGGTCGAACGCATTTTAATCACATCGGTAAAAATATTTTAATACTGTACCTGAACAATATTTCTTATTAACTTCTCAAACATAAAATTTTAGATTACTTTTTTAACCAACCTTTGAACTAAAAGTTTTTATTCCACGTTTCATTGATCGATAAAAAATTATTAAATCACTAATATTTTCAGAACTCGAATTAAATAGAATATTCAAATCAGATATTTACAATTCAGCTGAACATAAGTTAGGAACAAATTATCTAAGTCAAATGAATGCTAGAGAGAGATTTGTGTTACTTGGAGGCTGTCTCCATTCTAAGAAAAAGCTCAATACCCAATCTCCTCTTATAAATGAAGTCTATTGCGATAGGAACTTTAACTTTCGTATGTTTGGACTCGGAGCAACAAAATATACTGGGTACATTTGCATACAAAATACCATAAACTCGTGTCTGCTTCAATCAATCATGATTACTTAAACGGCTTGGCGCCGTCGCTGTTGAATTAACGAAGTGGAATAGATTTTCTGATCCAACGTCAAACAGACATCAATATCTATTACCTCACTACAAACATGTACAGGTTTAGAAGTAGTTAACAGCCTAATTTGTTTTTAGTGTACATTGGCTACAGAGTTTTTTCATGTAGTTATTATCTACCTACATAATATTGTATTCCATTAATTATACTAGATAGTAATTTGTGTTTAAAATAACAAATTAGATTATTAAGGTAAATATTGATGATTAGCACAGTGAAATTAGGCTTTGAGCTTCAAAAAATCTTAAATTCTACACTCTTAAGTAACAAATTTTATACAACTATATATTTTCTACAAAGAGAAGTTATTCTCGTAATAAGTCTTCATCTCAGCCGTAAGACGTCCACTGCTGGACATAGGTCTTTAAAGATTTCCATGGCTGCCGATCTTGTGTCATCCGCAGCTTGTAATAAGTATCTAATCGAAAAAAGCATCGAAATGCATATTAATAAAAAAAATACATCTTTAGACTAAGTGCCCGTTTACGTTTCTTGGAAGTTTTCATATCTCAGCCGGAGCGTAATTTTGGGGAGCTTGATGTTTCTCTAGGCATAATAGGACAGCCGCGTTCAGCATTTGATACAATGCTAAAAGTAATAAAGACGACTGCAACTACAAGTTCGTCATCCGCAAGTATGAAGCATTCTGCGTCAAGGTAACAAAAGACGTACATATATACATATATACTTGTATTGTTCAGAACGCATTATAGCTTTACTATAACACGAATAACACGCCGTGACTATATTAGAATACCTTTTTATTTTGTTTGTTCGTTCGTTGTCGTTCTTTTAGGACTGACATAAAAATAATATGTATGTATGTAGACACTCGACACTCTCAAAGTGTGACCTCGTACTACGAGGGTTAGAGTTCGTTTTCTACTTTCGCCGCATAAAAAACGTCATGCTTTGTGTTAATAATGAAGTAAAACAATAACAACTAAACGTATGTATTTTAATACAAAATTTCCCTCTACACAATGACCTGCGACCTCGGGCGAAGTCGGTAGTCGATAGTCGTCGTATTATTAACTTTTTGTTTGTCGTAACATTTTAAATAAGTATTCAGAAATAGTTAAATTATTGTAAAGATGCAAAATTAGAATTTTTATAAAAGCCTATACTTTTATTTTAAAATTTATACTTTTTTTAGGTCTTCAAGGACGTCCCGTGTCATGTCATCTCGAAAAAGTACAGCTGCTGGAGCACCTTTGAAACTTTACCCCGATATTTATATACCAGAAGCCGGTAGAATGATGTAAATATAAAATTAGTTTTACGTTAAAGTTACTCGTAAAAATTATTATAACACGAAGAACTGCTTATTCAATATTCGCTCATTTCCATGGTCAATATTTTGAATCAATTTTGATTTCATCAAGCCCGTGCATTGGCTTGACATTTGGAAAAACACCATTTTCATTCCGAAAAATATAAGATCGATACAAACCTCCCTAACTAATTTTTTTTTCTTTTAAACGCGAACGAAATCGGGCTCTTGCTAATTTTAGTATATTTTTATAATGATTTTTAGTGTATATGTAAACGAAATATGAAATAGAAATAGATAAAAGATTATTCTGTAAAACTTTTAAATTTCCTCATATAGTAATTGAATATCTTGCAGAGAAAGTTTACCGGAGCACTTTCCTCACGAACCTCTTGCTAAGCTCCCAAGTAATGAGGAGCAACGATTAAAATGGTTAAAACAGGTTTTAAGTCAAAAGAAAAGACAATAATTATCATTGACATCATAATTATACTTGATAATTATATAAATGCATTGTTTTGTGTTATATTGATTGGAAATATATAAGACACAATAAAATTAAATCGGACTTAATGAAGTTTTTTTAAGTAAATATATTTCCTAGTGTTCTAAGTTATCAATATCTGATCTGATATTCAACAAACTTCATACAGTTTTTCTCGAAAATCGTATTTTTATTGTACATTCAGAAGCTTGTACGATATTTCTTTAACGAAATCTTTTACTTTTTTATCTATTAATTTGAAAATTAATTAATTAAATCGATAACATGTGTAGTATAAAAAAAGGCAAAAGTGCTTTCAACCTCAATACAATATGAAAAATGATTATTAGACACTTGAAAAATAAATATGAAAATATATTTAAAAGTTATCATTTCCGAAGTAACTGTCAGAGATTAGGCCACTTTACGCTGACGGCCTCGTACACTACTAAAGGTCAAAAGAAAATAATTTTCATACAATATTAAGCCGACATGAAACGATTTAGTGGCACGTATTCCTTCGATTATCCGTCAGTGCGATTATCCTGTCATAATTCCGCCGTGAAATATTCAGTAGCTGAAAGACTATTCGGTAGATAGATACTAGGGAGGTAAAATATTATTTTTCGTCGAAAATAGAAATAGTTCACATTTTTTTTAAATATATATTAAAATTACAAAGTTATGAAAAAAATAAAGTTATGTAAAAAATAACACAAAATAAGTACATATATTATTGACACCATAATATAAAGTATACATTTAACATAAAAAAATACATCATTATCTAATAGTCGAATTATAAAAAATATATCATTCTACTCTAAAAAAAAATTTAAACTAAAATAAGTTATTCTGAAAACTCTACTACTAAATACAAAATAACCAAACAAACCCAAATCCTATGAAGACTGAATGAAATTTATAAATTTTAGCAAACTTGGCACGATGCCTTTAAGTACGGTAATTCAATGAGATTAGTACTTAAATCCATTAAATTAGACACATAAAAATCCGCCTATAAGTATTCTTTTTTATTACAGTTCAAATGAATGATAGAGCTACTCCCGATTTTCCAGTGCCTTTTTAGTGATAAAATTATTTAAAATAAGTGCGTATGAAAATCTTTTTGTACCTACATAATAAGGGTAAAAATCTATTATCTTACAATCAAATAAAAGTTTCTTATTCGTTTAGCTGCTTAGATTAAGCCAAAATCTTTTTAGGTACCTATACTTATTTCGTTGCAATGTTTTGTTTCTAGAGCTTTGAGTCTATCGTGGTATGAGAATTTATAAACAAAAGAATATTTAGTGGAATGCAGTCTAACTTACAGACTACAGTCATAGTAAAAAATATTGCATTAATGATAAAGCTACGTAAATATGTTTGCCACACGTTTTAATAAATTACGGTGCATACAAATATTTCGTCTATTTAATTTGGATGGAGCAGTCTTTGAAGTCGATTTAGCCAGCGTTTCCTTTGAGTCTCACTGCAGTGTCGAATTTCTTCAGGCTCATCAGGAAATTGTGAAGGAAAATGCATACTGTAATTGAATATTTAACATGAAATTGTTCCCCAAAATACCATATTTTACATTTACTATCAACTTTTTAATAATAGCAATATTATATACATGTAACTATTAATCAATATAAAATAATAAGTAAAACAAACATAAGATCAAATGTCATACGCACATACGTGACTCCTTACGAGGCAGTACTATGTTTGGGTACAACTTTTGAGGAACGAGTTGGCTTTTTCTCATTGAGCTACTTGTACTACTTTTAGAACCATAGCTCTGCGAAGACCTTTTGATACAGAATTTAATCATAATTTTGTTTTTACTATTTTACATTTACTACTTAATAAATAAAATAATAATATACCTAGGTACCTACTCTACCCAGTACACGATTTACACTAGTGGCACTCGGGGCTAATGCCTAGAGCGGCAAATTTTCAGGGGCGGCAAAATTCGAAGGATATTTATCCTTTTTTATTTAAAAAAAACTTCGCTTTATCGATTTTTTTTTATTTTCCATAAAATGAATAATTAAAAAAAATCATTTTTGCATTTATCAAAAATTTTAAAAAATTTATCTTTATCCATTTCATGCAAAATTTCAATAATGGGGCGGCATTTCTTACATTGCCCAGAGGCGGCGCTAAGGTTGAATCCGGCACTGACTCTATCGTAAAGTTGTAGTTTACAGATGGATCATCTGTGGTTCATTTTTTAATAATAGGCCATTTTTTTGTAAAATAGAACAGTTTGGCGAGTCATATAAATTATAATCCATAAATGTTCATGACTAGCATAGTGCCATAGAAAGTTTAGTGCAGACTCAGCCAACGCACGTGACAGGATTTAAATACGATCTAAATACTACTTAGAAACTCTGTACTTTAATATGTTCATAGATTCGAAACAGTGTTAGCAAGGGTTGCACTGTTTATTAATAATAAATGTCGAAGGATCTCTTTGTACCTTTTTAAGAAAAATAATATATTATCTATACAGGGTCATTTTTAATTTACTGAAAACCTTTTGGGAATACACTATTTACAACATAACAGCAACATATCTAAGAAAAAAAAAATATCTTAAATTTTACAAAAATAAAAATATTTCTATTGCACCTTCTGAACGGTAATAGTCCAGTAGCATTAGCAAAAGAAAGCACGTGTCCTGTGGAGGGGGAGGGGTGTAGGAAGCCGCGCTTACTCATTTAAACTTGGCCAGATTCTAAAACTTTAAAGTTTACAAGGTGCAAAAAATATTTTTTTTATTTTTTTATGAAAATTAAAATTTTAGAAATAATTTTTTTCTTGTTACAGATGTTATTGTTATGATGTAAATAGTATATTCCCAAAAAGGTTTTCAATAAATTAAAAATTACCCTGTATATATTACTTATAACTTTACGAATATGTGAACATTTTCTCGTTTAAAAAAACAACACTACTTAAAAGTGTTAGATTTTCAACACAGCAAAATATCTATACAGTTAAGATTATTTGTATTTCGTTTCACAAATAAACGTTCACGATCGAAAATCTAAGCATCTAAACGCATCATCAATGACCCGTTTCTAATTTTATTCGAATACGTACACAGAAGCCTTCGATTTCCCAGTTTCGGAGGCGGTCGGTAAAGGTCGTAACATTGTATCGAAAGCCGATCTCGGCATACCAATTATTCCAAGAACAATTCCTAACTCTGATAGTTTCTCTTCTGGACCAGCGACTGCGTGCATCATATACAAGAGCCTTGGAGTTGGTCTAAATATTACATATATATTTGTTATTTTTTTAATTATTCAAAAATTAATTGTGACTATCTAATTACATATTATGTAGAAAAAAGAATCATAACAGTATCTGACAAATAGTAGCTTACATCGAAATGACGTTAAAGTATAACAAATACTCTACATTATATTTAAATCTTCTATATGGCCAATTAAGTATTTGACGAATGTCTGCGCAACTCTAAGAAGACCGTGTGTAACATAAATTAATGTTTTTTTTTTACTTCAATAGGAACGAATTGACGTCAAATTCTATTTCCCATGACTGAGGCATAATGAAACGATCTGGAGTAACACGTAGGCTACTGTTTACAGCCGAGCAAAGTTAGGGTAAGTCACTAGTATTAAATATAAGTCGCTTACTGAGTACATTTAATGACTCCTAGTCCCAAAAGAGGGTAGTCTATTTCTCTGTAGCAGAACACTTCGTTCATGAGTGGTGAGCGCGTGTTTAGCTTCTTGTCTCGTCGCACGCAATGGCCGAGCAGAACTGCACGTTCTTCTTTTGCCATTTTCCCAATGTATCCCGTATGCAAGTTGTGTTCCACAGCGTTAAAGATCTCAGATTTAAATATTCGGTTGACTTCTAATTCTAAACCGATAATATTTATGTATATATTATAAAAACTTACAAAATCTAACCTCGTAAGTACTATCTATCTGCTGGCTAACAGACTACTCTGCCTTTAGTTGAATATTAAAGTCAATAATTTTACCACAGCGACACCTACCAGGTTCAGATTTCGTTATATTGATTTTCGTTATTATAAATATATATATTGATAAGCCAACATCTAATATATAAAATTCTCGTGTCACAATGTTTATCACAAAAAAAACTCCTCAGAAACGGCTTGACCGATTCTTATTAAATTTTGTGTGTATATTCATTAGGTCTGAGTATAGGACGTAAACTATTTTAGATACCCCTAAGTGATAAGGGTGGTCCACCGCAAAAAAAAAATATTTTTTGGAAAAAAATAATTAATCTTTTTAAGATTAGTCATTAAAAAATACATACAAACATAAATTTCCAACCATAGGTTATAGGTATCATCTATACATATAATAAAATTGTAACTAAGCCGAATCTGTACATTAGATATTTTTTGGAAAACTTATTGAAATAAACATTATTATCGATACAGAAGCCGAATCTATAGTTTTTAAAATTTTTGTGTCTGTCTGTCTGTTACCGCATCACAGAAAAACCACTGGAGGTATTTTGTTGAAGTATGGTATGATGATAGCTGGTTATCTGGGTCAACATATAGGATACTTTTTACCGCGAGAAAATATCTCATTTCTGAGAAAAAATACAAAACTGCAATGTAAGAGTATACTACAATGTAAAACCTAAGAATTTGGTTTTTGGTCATCTGAACGCCGGCGGAGCCGCGGGCAATGCTTGTTTAAAAATATATTTAAATCGAATTGTCAAGGATTAATTTAGTATTATAAGAATACTCCCCGTTCTAATGTTATCATGACCATATCAGTGTACCTATCTGATTAAAAGATTTTCGCCCGAGAGCCAACCAGACAATTTGAACACACACTCGTAATAATGTTTCGAAAAGCCGGGCATCTTTATCTGATAATGATCTACGCTTTTTCTGTGGTCCCATATGGTGGAATTTTTTTGTATCATTTCCACCTACACATATAAAAAAATGATCATGTTAACCTCCATATATACATAAAAATATGAGACGCATATACAAAATAACTGAATTTATCAGACCAATAAGCATTGTACTGTACTCTTTAGCTACTAAGAGTCTCAGATCCGATAGGTTGTCCCGGAATTCTTTTTCAAGTATTTCACATTGTAGTGTCCGTACTTTCGTCTCCAACTCTATAATACGATTTGCCATTTCGTCCGCTATCTTTGAACAAAGGATATTTAATATTATGATATAAAATAAATATCAAAAACCAATATATTTTTATGATCAATGGTAAAGCAAATGATTATTGCTTAATCTAATAGTGCATAAGAAAAAAGTTTTAAAGTAAAAAATCTAAATGATACTGATGTTTTTAACAAGACTAGACAAATTATAACATTACTACATGGTAGAAGAATTAAAGTAATATATAAACCCGAAAAACCTAAATTATTTTTAATTATGTTTAACATTTAGTGTATAATAAAGAAAACATAACCATAATAACTACATTAGTATAAAACTACACAATAACATGTATGTATATAATATGTTTAATATAAGCTCTAAATAAAACTAATATAAATTAGCTTTTAAAGACCTTACCTGCAAGTAATACTGACAGCAAAGTACAAGCGCTCTAATGAATCTCTCAGTAGTGGGAAGATGTAACATATTTATTAACATGGGACTTAAAATGTTAACTGGAGCAGTGTATAGTACTATATCTTTAGCATCCTGTAAATAATTATTAGAATTACAAAATATATTACAATAGATTATAGTATGTTGATAAAATACGATATGTCTTAATGTTTTTGCTATTCTCCTTCTATATAAATAAAAACGAATGTTCGTATGTTTGTCCTATATGTGTTACTAAGCTATTGATCCGATTGTAATGAAACTCTGGTGGATTATACCACATACGCCAGCAAAGGTTCTTGGTATAATTTTTTTTTTATAGACATTTTTTTTTTCTTTTATGCGTTCCTAAACCATACAAGCCCCGGGTCGCACCCGAACGAAGCTAGGATAAGTCGCTTGTGTGGTAATTGTTGTATATAATTAAAAGAATTTTATAATAATATATAATCAGTTTTCTATTAATTTATTATGAATTCAAATTTTTATGAGCATAAACTTAAAAGAATTTTATTATATACATTTACATTACATGCCTGTATAGTAATAACATCTGCTTGCCCCGGTTTCAACTTTCTTTGGTAGCGCCTTCTATACCGTATCTTAAACATTTTATTGTTTTAAACGTAACATACTTTTTTACTACTGTGTCTCGTTAAAACTTAACCAATAAAAACATGTCTGCAAATTAACCATACTTTCTTATTTACGTAAATGATATCTACATATACGTAGAATAAAATTGTAACTGAATTGAATCTTTACATTAAATATTTATTCGAAAATCTTATTGAAATAGTCATTATTATCGATACAGAGGGCGAATCTATAATATTTAAAATGTTTGTCTGTCTGTCTGGGAAAGCATCAAGAGAAAACCACTAGACAGATTTTGATGATTGATTTGAAATTTGGTTTGATGATAGCTGGTTATCCGGGTCAACATTAAGGAAACTTTTTACTGCGAGAAAATAACTTACTAACTCTCACTAACAACACAATCTACACTAAACGTTAAAACATAGGTAACAAGAAGAAGAGCAAGGGTGAGTTGCTAGTTTTACAGAAATCTATACAAATAAATAAAATTGAACTGTATGTTTGTAATGTCAAAATACAGTACTTATAAGAAAAAAAAACAATATACATAATAAAAAATAACTTTACTGACCGATAGCTGATGTTCCAAGGAGTAACTAAGACAAATTGTATTTTAGACAAATAATTAGGAACAAAAAATTAAACCTATGAAAGTGTGAACAAAATCGTACCTAAGGACACGTCCGAGCGAAGCGATAGTAAATCGCTAGTATTATTCTAATGTATTTAATATGCTAAATATAGCATATTGTAAATATAAAATTACAGGTAAAATTTAAAAGCTAAGTGAATTAAACATGTTTCTTTAACATCAGCAGCAAATAAATATAAAAGAATGCATATATATATTTCCAACATAAGTTTGACCGCCTTTGAGGATATAATATTACCTGCTCGATTAAATCGACATCATCTCTGAATTCAATTGTTCCAGTGGGCGCTTTTATTGGTATTTGGATAGCTTCTACTGGCTTTGGCGGCAGATCACTACAAAGTTGTTATTGTTGAAATTATATAGGAATTACTTTCTCATTCGTATTTCAATTTGTATTATTAATCATTATAAATGATTCCATCATTAATAACTATTAGAATTTTATTAATAATTTCTTAATTGATTTCAGCAGTGCCAAGAATTTGCGAAAGTCTTGAATAAATCAGCCCAAAGTAAGAAAATGTTTTTCTTTATTCAAACGTTCTAAATTTTGTTCAAACGTTAAAAACGTTTAAACGTCTGGAGCATATATAAATATAATACTTCAATATATACTTACATTGACAATAAATAAAAATATAAATTGCAACAAAAAAAAACTGTGTTTTTATATTTTAAAAAAGGTCAATTCTTCGGATACTAAGGGCTTAAAGGAGGTAAAAAAACTTAACGAGAATATCTTCTTATCAAACTTACTCTTATCAGATCTGTTTGAGCTTTCAATTCAACAAACAAAACTGCTACAAAATGCAATTTCAGCATTCAAATTAAAAAAATCAAAACTAAAAAAATTATTCTTAGTTTTGTTTGGTCCGATTTAAAGAAATCCTTATATTATAGTCTCTTCCTATATTTATACTTGTTATAAAGTTTAAAGTTTTAATTACCTCACAAATACTAGTCCTTCCACAGAGTCATCCCAAGCCCAATGACCGTCCTCATACAGACCACCGAACCCACCTTCTTCCTCATCATCAGCCATAATCTTTACTTTAAATGCCTTAGAATTTTATGTTGAATTTGGACACAAATTACTATACCTACTATTATGCCTAATTATTCGATATACACTGACACTGTCAGATTGAAAGTTCATAATAATTAAAATATTTTTTTTCATTGTGATTATTATGTAAATTGTAAACAAAAAAGTTCACTTTGACTCCCAGTAACATTTAGGGTAATTAAATAAAGTTTATTTTAATCAACCTAGAAAATCCTAAAAAAGAGCATATTTTTATGGCGTAACCTATTACATATTATTCATAACTTAAGGCATTCTTTTCATCATTCATAATTCATAATTCAGCATTTGACTTCGAAAATATCTGATTAGGTTTCTATTCTAAATGAAAACCCCCATTTAATTATTTTTTACATTTTAGTGCCTGAGAGTAGGTTTTTTTTTAGTTTTTATTTGTCTATTTTTAGTGTAGACGTAATAAGCAGGTAATTTGTTAGAAAATACGTTACTAGGGAAGAACCTGAGCGGAGCGAGGGTGAGTTGCTAGTTGAAGAATAAAAATACCTCAATGCCTACTGCAATAAGAGTAGGTATCATACGTCGGATCGGATTGTAAATATGTGTGTTTATTATTCCTTCACGCTGAAACGACTGGACGAATTTGGATAAAAATTAGTAGGTAGGTATATAGATAGATTATGACCTGGAGTTACATATAGGCTACTTTTAGGCACTTGGGAATAGAGATTCACTATTTATTCAATACTAACGACTCACTCTCGCTCAGCTCAGGTTCGTCCCTACTTTCGTTTTAACGTTTAATATATATTTCTCAGAGATGAGATATTTTCCCACAATAAAAAGTAACCTATATGTTGACCCGGATAACAAGCTATACCGGATGGATAACTATCATCATACCAATTTTCATCAAAATCCCTCCAGTAGTTTTTCCGTGATGCGGTAACAGACAGATAGACAAACATTCTAAAACCTATAGATTCGGCCTGTATATCCATAATAATGTCTATTTCAATAAGATTTTCCAAAAAAATATTTAATGTACAGATTCGGCTTAGTTACAATTTTATTATATGTATAAATAACTTACACTTCCTTTCATATTATATAATATTTTCATTTTCATTATAGAATATATGTACATACTTTTTTTTAAATATGCAACTAAGTATATTTTTCATAATCTTACATCTATTCTTTATAAAATATCATAATTTAATTCATAGACGACTATAAGTTGTGAATTGAAATTTTTATCGAGCATTTGTAAGTTTGAGACAATTTATGATGTCACCAGTAAGTGCTCTCCGCTGAATATAAAGTTATGCTAATGCAAACTACATTGAACTTTAAACCTTAAAACTTACAAAATGTTTAAAGTTATTATCTTCTAACTGTCAATACCGACTTTGTCTACGTGACAAAAATGACGAATACTTACTTACGAGTATATACTAAACCTTATAAAAACTAAAAGGAAAAACGATTTAAAAACAAACACTAAAAGGTAAAATAACTCACTGGTAGTTTGTATTTACTATATATAATGTATATAGATAGAGATATTTTCCAAGTCGGTGTGCTTTGATTTGTATCTTGGGGTTTTTCTTGAAGTCGGTTTTTATTTTTTTATTTTTTAAGTTTTTATTGTTCCATTTTTAACGTAGAAATATTTAGTAGTAACAAAATAAGAAGAAAGTATTTCAATCAATCATTCCCTATTTTCTACTCTTAGGGTCGATTTTTAGGGACTGACTTTGGGGTATACACTATCCAATAAAAAAAACATCATCGAAATCGGACTACGCTGTAAAAATTCATGAGTCAAACAAAAAAAATATACATGTCGAATTGAGAACCTCCTCCTTTTTTTCGTCGGTTAATAATATCATCTAAAGCTAGACATATTGATTAAACTGCCATTGCACGTGAACCCTGGTGCTACTGGAATTCAAATTTTCTTAACCAAAACTTTAATTAATACATTCTCCTGTGCCAGACACGTTCATTCGAGCATATTATATTAAAGGATAACATTGAAAAGGGACAGGTGTGTCAGGTGCTAATTCATTGAATTCGAGAGCACAGGCGATTGCACACAAGGCTACGATGCGAAGCTTTGATCGTGTGCGCTCTGCCATATGATCATAGGCCTTTACGTAGTGATGGGTTGTATATTTTATATATATAAAGCTACTAATAGCAGAATATAATAAATAAAATAATGATTTATTATAAATGATATTTTTACATAAAAAGTTAAAACTAGGAGGATATCCACACACCAGTAATACCAATTGGATACTATAACAACATGGGTAAGTCGTCGCTCAGTACATGGTGGTTGTGGCGAGGTTTGACGGGTAACTAAACTGAACAATCTATTCCTGAATGGATGAATAAAAGGCAATAACTTTAATTAAAGTTTAAATTACATGAATTAAAATATTGCTAATAAAATCTAAATTTTTGCTTTTTCTTGTGTCGGCTGACAGCGATACAAAAATATCTAATTAAACCAGACCTATTACTTATATTATAAATTAAAACCCTACTCAGTGATTTCTTCCCGTTTTGTGTCTTAAAGTTGGTTCACATTTTTTTATCACCCGACTGCGCGACGCAAAGGAGGGGTAATGTGTTTATCAGCTTATGTAGGTATGTATGTGAGTTTGTATCTTTGTAGCACTATTTAGACCAAACGCGTGGGCCGATTTTGATAAATGATACGTCGATTGATTCGTAATGACGGCGCGAATGTGATAGAATGTATTATAACGTGTTATCCCGTGGGAATTAGATAATCTCCCGCGGTAAAAAGTAGCCTATGTCATTCTCCAGCCCTGCAACTATCTCCACACAAAAAATCACGCCAGTCCGTCACTCCATTTCGACATGAAACAAACAAACAAACAAACAAACACACAAACAAACAAACAAACAAACAAACAAACAAACAAACAAACAAACAAACAAACAAACAAACAAACAAACAAACAAACAAACAAACAAACAAACAAACAAACAAACAAACACGCTAAAGATTAATTATGATTATTTTTAAGGTGACTAATAAATTATCACCTATATTTTATGAAATAATGCATTAATTCTCGTATTATTTTTCATTGCATATAACCAACAACGGTGCCTTGGACTTCTTTACTAGATGCATCAGAAGGAATAGTGCGCCCAATAGCTGGTTAAAAATCTATTTTTAATAAGACTTATCTTGAGTGGATAGTTTTAGGTGCAACAATTACTAATAAATCGATTAATATTAGGAAACTGAAAAATAATAATATTTATGGAACTCAGTTTAATAAGGATTAATGCTAAGAATTATAATAAAGAAGATATTTTTGAATTGTATTGGATATTAAAATATATTTTCTTAATAAATGTTAAACTGGCAAAATACTAAATATAAAAATATCTACATATGTAAATGCTATATCTTCCTTACAATAATACTTCAATATACTCTATCCTAAACGTTTAGGCTAAAGCTTACTTCAATAAAGAAACAGAATTTCCCACATTTTTTTATTACACGCTACATTCACCTGGCCTTAAACATATCCAAAACAAACAAGCAATTACCGACCACACAACGTTTGTTTCATCACGCAGTTAATAAAATGCTGAATCACGAAACTGAATGAGCAACTCTTTCCACTCCGTTTCACTTTTATTTTCAAACTTCCACACCGTTGAGTCGAACGATTGAACCTATTAGGAATAATTTTTCTACACGTACATTGGTTTGATGTAATAAAATCGATGTTTAGCTTTAGGTACATTCTATAAAGTAGGTATCTACTAAATACACAAAACGGTGTTGCTAGAAGTTTAGTTTCGATATTTCCGTAGGTAATTGATTCGGGGGTTATTAAACATATCGTAATACAAAAAATCTTTTCATTGTGTTGATCAATCAGTCTCTAATGAAAATATATACATATATTCAAAATCCTCAAGATCCAGTGAAAGTAGTCTTTATGTAGAAGAAGCGTGTCCGGGACTAGCTGAACTTCTTTTTTTCCTTTTTGGCAGCGAAAAGTCCCGTTTCCTATACAAAGACAAACCCATTTTAGTTAGGATGCATGGGTGCCGAAAACCACCTTTTGTCCTTTACTTCGACCTTACCTACTCGTAGACCGTAGTGCATCCTGTTAGATAATAGATGAAGTCTTGTCAGTTGTCACACTATTTCTGGTGGAGTATCATCCTAAACTATATTTGGCAATTATAATAGACGCTCTCTGCAGCCGAATTAATCTTCCAGTCTATAGCGCTGTTCCATAAAAATGTTATTCAGTAATTAATCGAATATGCTTAGTTTTGGTTTTCCTGGCTTGTGATTCAAAATGAAGTCATTCTAAATACAATAATGTCTCTGGCTGGAAGTGGACAGGTGACAGAACAGCACAAAAGTAACGCATGTAAATATCTATTTTATCAGAACAAAGAATACCTTATATTGTAAAATTTTATTTCAAAGTAATAATTTTTATGTACAGAAACATGCACGAAAGTTAATGAAGTGGAATGGTAAAGCTTCAAAGCAGGGCACCAAATATTGTAAGCGTACGTTTCACCTACGTCTACCAGAGCAAGCACTACCATCGTCTTTATGCTCAATGAATATTCATATCGTGATCGATGTTCGCTTCTCTTAATTCACTGTAAACACGTGTACGTGTCCTTTCAAGCTTGTTTTGTATTATGTAAATGTTTAGACGTTACTTACTTACTAATATACGAATACTTAGGTATATTCAAACGATAACTTCAGGTCAATTAACATAAAAATTCATAATTTAACTGCACAAGTAGATAAGCTTTAGTTATTATTTCTCTTAATATATTTATATAGAGAAAAGGTGTTATAGTAAACGCTTTTGCTACTACTAGTATTAATAAATAACGGTTTTCTTTTCAGTCAGTTATGAGAAATTGAGAACCCCGCTTAATACGGTACCTCATACAAGGAACTTTCAGTCTTTATTTGGGACGGATCTCTAGACAACGAAAAACAAACCTATCCCACGGGAACCGTACATTTTTCCGGGATAAAAAGCAGCTTATTTGTTATTCTGATGTATGAACTATATTATTGTAAAGTTTCATTAAAATCCAATCAGTAGTTTTGTATACTAAGCTGTATAAGTTACTATAGTTTATTAACTATGCCACGGGAACTCTAATTTTCCGCGATGAAATGTATCTAAAATTTTGACCGGGGATATAAGGTACCACCATACAAAATTTCATTTATATCGGTCCAACACTTTCGGAAATTAGCCCGTACAAACAGACACAGAAACAAAAAATTTGAAGATAACAACTGGATTTATTCTATTTCCCTTCTTACATCCCCCTGACTCGGTTTTTATCTTTTATTTCTATGTGCAGACAATGGACCTTTACAGTTTTATTATATGTATAGATAGTCTAATCAATTGCTTTATACGCTACCACATATTGCCTTATTTTCCTTACTTCTATACATATTTCTTTATGCTAGGTTATACACATACAATTCACGACCCCAGAACTTAAGTAAAAAAATATTTTTGACTGACTACGGCTACGAATAAACAGACTTATTATTTATTCGTAGAACTGTGGTGAAGCCCAAGGAGAGGGTAATGTTATTCACCTGTATGTGATGTGTCTATGTCTGACCCTGAGTTTCCTCGTAACTCCTAAACAACTGAATATATTTTGATGAAAACCTATCGAGTATAATTTACTTACAAATTACCAAATTGCCACAAATATTAATTACAAAATATGTTTCACTCATTCCATTGAAATAATTTAGGATAAAACATTGTTAAATTTAACTCTAATTGTCTAACTGGCCGAAATGAAAAAGCTGAAAACAAAAATAAAAAATGTTTTAGATACTTAAAGTTAATTGTTGCGACTCTAGCTAGGTACATGTTGTGCTGTCTCCGACTACATTGTACTGACTTTGTTCCGTCATCTTGTTACTATCTTTTAGTACGTATTTTACGCAGTCGGGTTTATTTTTATTTTTGTCCGCGATGGCTACAATGACGGTATATGTCTGTTACAATTTTTCTCGGAACCACCTAGGCAGATTTTGAAACGGTTTTTTGCTTTGTATAAGTCTTATTCCTGAGCATGTCCTTAGCAAGTTTTATAATGTTATAGACCGACAGATGGCTCTACAGTGTACCTACACATATTTCTCCAAAAAGGTTATATTTGTTTTACTACTCAAGTAAAAATAAGGCAGTTTAATATTTAAATAAATGTATTGCATTTACTATTAAAATTTAAAAAAGATACAATAAAAACAAATTAAAAATTTAAAAAACCCGCGACGAAAAATTGTGTCATGAAAAAACTACATATAAAAAATTTCAAAACCACCCACTATATGCCGTCGTCACTCGTCCGTTCAGCCGTCGTGCGTAATCTGTGTTGTAGAGTACACATTAATTAACAATAAAGATACTGGCACATACTAATAAATAACATAGGCTACGCACGAAGCGACGGCGTGGGTTTTTGAAAATTCTTATTTAAAGTTTTTTTCGTGCCACAATTTTCAGTCGAAGGTTTTTTAATTTATGTTTTACTTTGATTTTTTTGACTTTGACGTTTTACAGTCGATTCCCCATACAAACTATCATCCCCATTTTCATCCCCTTAAGGCATGATTTCAGAGATAAAAAGTATCCTCTATCCTTCCCAGGGTCTTAAACTATCTTCTTACCAAATTTCATCTAAATCGGTTCAGTAGATCCAGAGATTACACCCTACAACGTCACAAACCCAAAAACTCACAAACTACCTCTTTATAATATTAGTAGCGCAATTTTTTAATTTTTTTCTTTCATAAGAACCTTCTCCTGACAATAACAAAAAGTTAAATCGGGCCAGCCCTTCACGCGTGATGGCGTGACCAAGGGAAATGGGGATTCATTTATATTTATATATATATATATATATATATATATATATATAGAGTATTTTTACAATATCTACTTATATTGAAATAAGCTTAATTATTTATTAAATTCTTTAGTTAATACTTTTTTTATAAATCTATAAAAATTTATATACATAATATAAAAATATTAACTGAAACAAAGTCGTGGACATTAAAAGAATTACTGCGTGTATAAAAATAACAATAAAACCTAATGCCTCACATGGAAAAGTACTTACTTATAATAACATCGATGTAATCCCAAAATATAAGGAGTATTTCTGGTATAATAATGTCCCAACTTTAAATGTTCCAAACACACAATGTTTTAAAACATAAACTCCTCAACTCCGAGCTGACTGAGAAAACTCCAGCTCTATTTTTGGCCTGACCCGAGATTTGAACCCAGGATCCATGATATACGTTCGAGTAAGCTAACAACTAGATACTTCATATTTACTATCTTATAATGATAAGACGAATTAATACAAATGTATAATTGTGGTTTATTCGTTGTAAAAGTGTGATAATATGTAATTAATGTAATCAATTTTTTAATCAGATTTCTTTAAAAAAATCTCAATAACTTTTGAGCAAAGATAATTATTTAAAAAACGCACACACTTCATGTAGACCATTTATTTTACTATAACACAATACATATATTTGGCATTAAGTACTTTAAACTTATGTAGTTTTTTTCTCATATCGGGGAGTTCTGCTCGTCGTTAAAGTCGGTACTCTACTTAAATTAAAAGTGAGGAAATAGTAATACAAGCACATCCAGAAATAACAAACTCCTACAGCACAATACACTGATGTGATCATTAAAGGCAAAAAGGGCAAACTCTTGTCTAGCCCCCATAAAGAATGCAGAGCGTTCTCATAAATGCATACAATCATAAGTCCATACAAATATAATGACTGAAATCTTCTTAATCTTGGCAAAAGCATAAAACGCCGTTTTCTACTCCACTTAGATTTCGGAGCCTCGTATAGTGATGGAACAAAACAGAAAGCAATTGCTATATGTGTTAAGAACATAAATAGTTTTATAGATAATAGGTTTTTTGGATAAATTAGAGGAAATAATGAATAGTGGCCAACTGTGGAAAGATATAAGAATAGCTTGGCATCGACGTCGCCAAGCGCCGAGAGGAAACTGAAACAATGAATTTCACTATTATTATTGGAATGAACTAAATGATAAAATAGTATTTATACAATATGTTAAAGAGAGACTGATTGAAATTTTGGTATAACAAATGTCGTGACCCGATCGTTGAATTGGTAATATCATTAAATAGTCCACTAGCTCATGATATTATCAATTTCGTGAAACAGTTGCATTTCATGGCGCGGTGAATTGTTACTACTAAACGTATCATTTATTTTTTTAATGTATAGCGTTTGACGACCTATTCATCGACGTTTATAATATTACTAGCGACTCACTCTCGCTTCGCTCGGGTTCGTCCCTAGGTACGTTTTAACGGTTAGTATGGAATATAAATCTTTGAATTTTTCGGCTTTTCTGTACTATAATATGCATGTATTATACATATATCTTATGTACTATAATATGCATGTATTATACATATATCTTGAATCACTAATCTATTAAAAAACCGCATCGAAATTCGTTGCGTAGTTTTAAAGATCTAAACATACATATGGACACACAGCAGCAAGCGACTATGTTTTATACTATGTAGTGATCTATTACAGGACAATCGAGCTTGACAATATAGCTGTGAATTTAAAGACGCTATTATAGGTACAAAAAAAGTTTTAATATTAAGAATTTGCATTTACGCATGATTATGATGTCCTCCAGACCGACTTCGGCCACGGCGGTAAATTCTACTGAAACTAGCCAACTGTGCAGACGTATCATAATAGTAGAGTGCATTGTCTCTCATACTCCGGTGGGATGATAATTCGAAACGACCAGTTACAGATCAGGCGCAAGACCGACGGCTTTACGTGCTCTCCGACGCACGGGGGTTAAACACCACCAACTGTTACCGAGGCTTTGTTAACTGAAAGACTCAATAACTAAACTTGGCCCGATCCAAGACCTCCGGATCTGCAATCGTATATGCTAGCCACTAGATCACAGAAGCATGTGTTAACTAAATAACTGGAAAAGCGCAAAAGTAACAGAAATACCAGAAAGCTAGATGTATCAAAAATAACAGAAGCATAATATGGTACATTCGAGGTACACCCACAGGTGACCGTCGCCATAGTGTGTCTACTCACTACTCGGCTGTGTTTCCGCACGCTACTGAGCCCCAAAAGCAAGGGGCTGTTAGCGCCTATAACGGAGAATAATACCTATATACTATAACTATTTACGATATTATTATTTAAGCTTAGCCAACCGCTATTCGTCTAGTTGTGCATATAGTCATACGATTTCTATCAAGTAATTTTATCAAGGCTCATCGTAGTGTAGATAATACACAGTATATTTCATGCGATGCCACCAATACGACACGTTTGGCTCAGTTTGTAGTGACCCTAGCGGTCGCAGGTTCGAGTCCCGCTGGGGGAATTCATTTGTGTGATGAGCACGAATGTTTGTACTCCAGTCATGGGTGTTTATTTTTATAATATGTACAATAATAATAATAATAATATTCTTTATGTGTAGTAAAAAATCAGGTATATATTTAAAGTTATATGTGTGTAGTGTATCAACTATCTGGTATCCATAACAAAGACTTGCCGCTTACCATGGAACTACATGGTGCTATGTTAATGTCCAAGCAAAATATTATGAAATCGTCGGTCGCTTCATGATATGGGTATTTTATGATCGGGCAACAACATTAATATATTAATTATTATAAACATAAGTATTATAGATCAAGGTAAAAATTTGGATTGTAAAGTATTCTTTCAAATTTTAAAATGTTAAAAAATCCTCTAAATATTTAATAAAACATTAATATAACTAATTGTTACCTCAGTGGAATTAAAATCATCAGTATAGCTTTTTCATGTACATGCCATCCAAACATAAATGCACACGTAGCACATAATGTAAGACACCTGAAAAATATAATTAATAAATCGCTTGTATAAGAGATTTATTTTTTAGACGATGACGACAGCGCACCAGTATAAATAAATATATACTTTATACATTTTAGCAACATTTTTCTTACTTCATAAGAATTATTTTTATTATTTCCTATTCATAAAAAAGTATTATAAAAAACCTTGTATTTACAAAGATATCGCGTAACATACTTACAAAAAATAGACGAATTGAATATCTATTACCTACCTACTTTTTTTTTGAAGTAGATGAAAAATTAAAATTATATTTACTAGTACTGTATTGAAGAAGATGCAATTATTAATCTTACTATATTATATAAGATTAATTGAATTAAAGATTGAATACTAATTTAGGAACTTGATTGAATTGAAGATTAATTAATTAGAGATTGAAGTAAGAATAGTTGTAAAGAATTGTCTTACGTTTCCTTTTGTCGCATTTATTGATAAAATATGAATGAAATTTATAAAAAAGTTTAACTTTAGGAACACATCTTATTGGTAAACGATTTATATGCCACATACATCAATTATTTTAATATAAATATAGCAACCATGGAAAATAACATACCTGACAAAGCTCAAGCATCTGTATTGTCTATCAGCGCAGAGATGCCATAATTTAATAAGAGCTGGTATCATGGATACAGCAGTGAGAACAAAAGTAACAGTCGGTGTTATTGAAGGCAACACTGCATGTTCATATTCTTGGACCAACCCACCTGTCATTGATGCCTCACTTGTTAAAACTGGTATGTTAAACTTAAGACCTTTAAAATAAAATTAATGTCATTATTATAATCTATACATATAATAAAATTCTGAGTCAAATCTGTACATTAAATATTTTTTGTAAAATCCTATTGAGATACTCATTATTATCGAATTTTTGTTTGTTTGTCTGTCTTTCTGTGACTGCATAACGAGAAAACCACTGGGCAGATTTTGATGAAATTTGATATGATAGCTGGTTTTCCGGGTCAACATATAGGATACATTTTACTATATCTCATCTCTAAAAAAATCTATACTGAATGTAAAAACGAGGGTGAGTCTAGAGTCGAGAGCTAGTTATTAAAAACGTGTTTATTCAGTCAACCCCAGAATTTCAAAGCTTTTCATCTATTACTATAGGGAAATTAATAAAATATCCATCTCCAAAAATCTAAAATTCAGTATAAAAAAATAATTTAAAAATATCATACAGATATGGATACTTTAAACGTCAATCATTTTGACGCGCTGACGCGTGACATCATGATCTAAAACAACATTGCAATCAATAACAATAACAAATAAACAGGTCTAGATTGTTAGTACCAATCGCAAACACCAAACAACAGCGCTCTTTTATAATAGACTTTGACGTCACATTCAGTCTGACCAATGACGTTGCGTTTCTATTACTTTTAATTTTTCAACTATAAAGAAATTACATTAAAAAATATTGATATAGACGGCATTTAGAAGCAACAGATTATAAAAAAAATATTTTAACTTTATTTAAATCACACACATATTTCCTATTCAGAGATTTTTTTATTTTAATAATGCCACAGATAATCATACAGATAATGCTAAAACTATTTACAGATAATATATACTGGAACAAATGATGAGACTTGATTTACGAGCGCACTATTTCATTTTTCTTAAATTATATTATTTTTTAAAACTATTATAATATACCTTTTTAGAATTTATTTATTATCTTTTGTTATACAAACTTTAATAACCAATCGATACATATAATGCCATCTATTCACATTTATTTGAACTGTAAATTTCCTGATGAAATCATATGTTTAGGCATTTAAAAAATCTAAAACTTATTTACTGATAATTATAAGTGAAATGATACTGTCTATGTATATGCAATAACTAAGTATTTCAAAAATGTAATAGAACTCACACAAGCGTTGTAAAACTTTGTCTGCAAAATTATATAATGCCCAAAAATTTGGAGCCCAGTAGGCATGACATAATCCCCTTTTGAATGGAAAGAGTCTTAATAGAACCTAAAAAAGCGTTTATTTTTAATAATATTAAAAAAATCATATTTTTGAAAAAACAAAAAAAAGTTCTAAAAAATCCAGATTTTTTTAAGTACAAAGTATTACACAAAAACAATTGAGCCAAGAATTTAATTTCGAGCGACATTTTATATTATTGCGATATATTTAAAATATAAACTTGAAAAATTAAAAAAATATTAAATTTTGAATGTTCCATAACTTTTGAAAAAACGATTTTTTTTCTTTTGGTTGAATTTAGTTATACAATAAAAGAAAACTTCTGACCAAAATTCGTCTAAATCGAAAGGGGTTGATTCCAAATATTGGTCAATTTGACATGGAATGACCCCAATATACAAAAAATAAAATAGTATAATTACCTGTGGTAAATGATCAATGAAGGGTCCAAAAGATACGCTGAACACTGCAATAACTGTTAGAGCTAGTTTAATTAAGTTCATAATTGAAAATGAATACCAAGGAGTATGAACCCCATCATTGGATGAAACTGTGAAACAATATGCTCTGAGCAAATATACAACATATGCAGGTGCTATATACAAAAATATATGTTTTAAATTCAGCAACACTGCAAACCAAAATGCTGCCATTATAAAATTAGTCTGGAAAGTAAACAAAAATACATAATTATTATTTATTACAATTTGGGCTGTGTGGAGTTAATGGATTGATTAAAATTCATATTGTATCAGTAATATTTTGTCTACATTTTTAATTGTCTACTTGTTATTCATGCACAAGTTTTTAGCTATCAATAAAATTAACTACTAATCTTCCTAAAACCATCTGAAACTATGTATATTATGAAAACAAGTCAAGCAGTCATTTTGTTCATTATTCATTCATATTTTATTCTAGATGGTGTTAATAATTTCTCATATTGTAACTAGTAATAATAATTGGGTACTGGGCACTTTGGTTCCTCTTTTAAATTGTTTTACCATATTATAAAATCAGGTATAACTTCTACTTAGGGCATAAGAATTACTCTTTGCGTCATCTTTTTACAAAAGTGGTGCCAGGTCATGTAAAAATCTGTATCAACTACTAAAATACTACAGAAAATATTAACCACAATCCACTAAAAACAGCTTTTTGACTCATAATGGATTTCAGATGTTAACAGAGAATAAATCATATTATATTGATATAGAATAAATACAATAATCATACTATAATATTATAGAGGTATAGTTTGTGATTTTGTTTTTAGGAAGTAATCTCTGAAAGTACTAAACCACTTTAGATGAAATTTGGTAAGAAGATAGTTTAAGGACAAGTAATAAGGACAGGATTATTTTTATCCCGGAAATCATACCTTAAGGGGCTGAAAATAGGGGTGAAAATTTGTATGGGGAATCTACATACCTAGGGACAATCCTGAGCGAAGCAAGAGTGAGTTGCTAGTATTTTATAAAACAAACCATCTTCTTATCAGATATGAAAATTTTTGTATATAAAGATTTACTGTGGATGTACTTACTGTTATCATATTTGATATGGACAGCAGTAAAATACCAAATAAAAACCCATTATACTGAAAATGAATGTGGTCCACCATCAGTAATCCAGGATTAGCAACAAGTAATATATATACTAAAAGATTTCCAGACATTAAAAGACTGGAACATCTGAAATATAAAATGTTTTATGTACAAAATTGTTAGTACACATGACAAAAGTAGTTATTTACATAACATTTTTTTTCATTACGTACAAACCTTTTTGCTCCATAAATGTACACAAAGTCCAAAACAATAACTGATAATCTATGAAATAAAATAGTCATATCTGAATCATAATTTAAGTTTTCTAATTTGACTATCTCTGGATCAAAAGCTTTTGCAACATAAGAAAGACCATATTCTAACCAAGCGAAAAAAGGTGGATAATCTAAAGTCCATTCAGAAGTTGTATCATAATACCATTTATCCATTGTTAGATTATGTGTAATAGCAAGCCAATTTCTATGAACTTCAAAGTCTGTAGATCGGCTAAAATAAAAAGGTTTATTAAATATTTATATCATTATAATTATTTAATTTAAAATTGCGAGTTGAATTTCTAAGTAGTGTACATATATTCGCCTTGTAAACACAGTTTTTCTCCGCAAAACGGAGGCAAGCTTTAATCATCATATTACAAATATTTTGTTTCATAATATACATACTAAAGAGGCATAAATGAAAACTTCGCCGCAGTCACTATTATTGCAATTTCAATCAACATTTTAGAACTTTAAATTTTATAATATTATCAAATTGGACGTTAGAAAATATTTTAGTTTCCTTGATATAATAACTAAATAATGCCCATATTCCTAAAAAACTTATTACGATTAATTTATAAAGAATTATTTTATTTATTTCTTTTCTTAAAATCAATTTTAATCTTTGTTTTAAGGATAATTTTCTTTAATACTCGCTCCGTTTGCAATACTAAAAAGTAAAAACACACGGCAATCGGCCATAAAATCAAAGTGATCAAACGTCAATTTGACAGCATCTCATCTGTTTATTGTTTTTGAAATTTTGACAATATGCATTGAATAGTTTACTTTTTTTAAATCGTAATTATTCGCAGCCCTAGATTAGTATTTTACATTTCATCCTTTCAACGTTAAGAGAGAGTGCTTTTCGTGATTGCGCTCATTTTGTTCATCAAAATCAGTCATAGGTGTAAATTAGAATACCTACCTACTTATTTAAGATATGTAAAATAAGGTAATGGCCATGAATGACAAATAAAAACAAATAACATTAGCATATTATAAATATTCATAGTTTCCTCCATGAAGAATATAGATCTATTCTTCATGGTTTGCTTTTTGAGTTTCGAGGCTCGTTAATCAAGTTATCTAAACGTCTAGTTAACTTGATAACGAGCCTTGAAAGTAACCTAAATATTTTAAAAAGATTAAAAAATCTGGTTTTGTTATGACTTCTTTTGCGCGTTAAGGAAAAAATGATGAGAGTAAATTTTTTACGATGCGACAGAATTAGACAACAGAGTACAGTATGAAGTTAGTCGACAGTAGACTTTATTAGGCTTCAAAGGTATCGGGCGAAGCGCGTCTCTATGTCTCAAGTCCCAACCATGGTAATCGCTAGCAAAGAGTATGTTATGTTATATATGTAATGCCATACGTGTGGCGCCCTCCTTTCGAGAAATCTTCTCCATTGTGCCCCAGATGCCACAAAATAAAAAAATTGAATTGAACCAAAGTTATACACAACAAAAAGTAACAAAATAAATATTATAACAAAAATAACGAAGAAGTAGTTAAGATTTTTTTACTCTCTGTATGTATATTCACATTTTAAATGTCAAATTGAAGTCCTTTGCGAGGTTGCTTTTCATACATTGTAAGACAATAACAAAAGTTAAATATTGTGTCTTCTCCATTCTACGTGGCATTGGCGAAGTAAATTGGGCAGAAATCACTATAGTGTAAATCTATATATCGTAAATAGTTTTTTTTTTCATTTTATTTAAAACTTAATTAAAATGACACAAAATGGATATCGTATGTGCCCAAAAGATAAAAACTGAAGAAGTTGTGGCTAAAGCATTAAAACAACCAAAATTGGCAAAATCACAATCTTTATATTATATATTTTAAGGCTATGTGAACATCATTATAATGAAAGTAATTTTACAATTCTTAAATCATCTAAAGGGGAAGATTTTTTTGTATTTTTTTACGTATTAACTACAGTCTCATACAAACTTTCATCCCCCATTTTATCCCTTAAGAGATTGAATTTCGAAAAATGATAAAACATATTTATTTAATTATATTGAAGAACGTTAATACTAAGTTTCAAATAATTCTGATCATAAGTAATTCTTTGCCTATTTTACCCTTTTATTAACCCAACTTCCATTTTTTTTATCTAAAGAAAGCTTAAAAGCTAAACACCGCTTTTTCTGTATTTCACATTAAGAATAAACTATGTCAAGTTTCATACACTCTTCAATCCCCTATTTTACCCACTTAGGGGATGAAGCGCGCATTACACTTGACTCATATTTGTTGTTTACAAGTGGATACTTTTTCAACTAATCCAATCAAATCCTTACTTCTACTTCTACCCTCCATATATACGAGGATATCCTCTTAAGTGTGCAGTCCAGTTCTGCCGTCAACTGTCAAACTGACGTCATATGCATGGATTACAATTAATAAAAACTTTTTAACAAAAAAATAAAAACCGACTTCAAACAAAAGCACTAAAAAGTAAAAAATAACTGATTGGTAGTTTTCATTTACTATACATACCTAATCAAATATTTTGGAAGTCGGTGTGCTTTGCTTTGTATGGGCTGGCACCGATTTCAAAAATATTTGATTAGGTATGTATTTAATAGGTAGGCTTTAATTACTTAGCCAAAGCACACCGACTTCGAAAATATTTGATTAGGTATGTATAGTAAATGAAAACTACCAATCAGTTATTTTTTACTTTTTAGTGCTTTTGTTTGAAGTCGGTTTTTATTTTTTTGTTAAAAAGTTTTTATTTTTCCCTTTTTAGTGTAGACAGTAGTAGCATAGTAAGGATTCTAGCGTGTTAGGCTTGTCAAATCAAACAAAATAATCCCAAACTCAAAGTATCTACTATTAGCCGTTGAAGAGTTCCACCTATCCACCTTCTGGCCTTGCCATCAGATCAGGTCAACAACACCGAACCACTGTACTATCAACGGAAATAGAAATACTTGCAAAGTTTCAAGTCAATATGACAATTAGAAGTAGGTTAAATTCATCATTAGTTGTTTTTCCACCCTTAGGGGTGGTATTTTTTTTTTGAAATTTAAATGGGACCAATCTGGAAGTATACCCTTTCAAACAAAACAAAAATTGTCCAAATCGGTTAATAAATCACGGAGTTCTGAGGTAACAAACATAAAAAAAAAAAAAACATACAGTCGAATTGAGAACCTCCTCCTTCTTGAAGTCGGTTGAAAATATCAAATATCAACTTTGTCTGTGATTTTGACAAACAGTGACATATGACATTTGAAAATTGAAATTGATCATGCGAGGAAATTTTCTAAGACAACAAATTTAGAAGAAATTTAATACAGAAAAACAATATGCAAAGAAATTAATGCAGTATTATAAGCTTTGGAAGCCCACTTTAACGATGGCTATTCTGCACCGAGCTTTATTTACATGGTTTATTTTTTTAGTGTTTTTAATACTTTTGTGCTTAAGACTAGAATCAAGAACCCATTGGAATTGGTTTATAGTATTCATTCCATTATGGGCTTATGATAGCATATTGTTAATATACGTTTTATTTCACATGATATCTCATTGCCGCAATGGTATTGAATTATTTAGAGGGACTTTAAACAAAAATGTTTGGTATATAGCAGCTGTTGGACTGAAGATGGCTGCGCAAATTATTATATGTATTAAGCTAGAATATACAAAACTAAATTTACCCATATACATAGTATTAACTCCAATCTGGATGTTACTACCTGTGCTATGTATTGAAGTCTTTATGCATCTTATTAAAGTATCAAGTAGAAGTAGTAGATATTAAGAAAATTGTACACACAAATACTTTATCAAATATCTTATGTTGAAGTAATATACATATTTTGTGAGAACATGTGACTGTGAGATAATTTTAAACTTGGCACATGTCCATGGACATTGAATGTTTGTATAGTTGTGACAAATCATATTAGCTGTACAAGAAACTTCAGTGATATAACAAATTTTATAAGAATATTTTCAAAATGCCAAATCTAATAGACAATATGGCTGATATAAAAAGTTCAGTTGTCACAGAGGTGCCAGCAGGAGCTACTGCAGTTTTGAACTGTGATAGCAATGATTTTGATCACAACTTCATGTTCTGGCTCTTGGACTCACATCCCTTAAAAATCATTGGACCTGAAAGTACTTATGATGATAGGAAATATAAATATGAAGTTTTATCAGGAAAGTTACATATTAATGTAAGTATTTTATCAATTCTACAATATGTAAATGCTCTTCAAGTTTTATTTTACTAAAGTATTTACTTTTCATATTTCTTTAAAAAAATTCACTTTTAGAGTGTGTCCCCAACTGAATCTGGCTATTACAAGTGTTTTTCTAAAAAGCTGGATGGTAAAGGTATAACTGTGGGGGAAGTGGAAATGATAGTTCAAGGATCAGCATTCTCTGCAATTGATGTTATAAAATTGGTGGCCATTATTGTATCTATACTTGTGTTAATTGCTTGTGCTGTTATATATCTCAGATTAAGAAAAGAATGGAAAAAATATGATGGGCATACTGTTGTTGCAGGTAAACAAAATTGCTTATTTGATATTGCTAAAGTATTCTCAGATGTTATTGGAATGAATATCATAATTATAATTTAACTTTATCTTACCCAATTTAATTATTATTATCTAGTATATATGTGAATCTTCTGATTTTAATAGGAGACGAAGAGGAAGAAGCTGATGAAATATATAACCGTACAACTACCACTATTAATCAGCCTGCACCAGGCCCAAGCAGAAATCAATCTTCAGAACATCTGCTATATGGAATAGATAACCAAGGGCTAGATACAGATTTTAATTCAGTCTTTGAAAATATACAAATAAAAACACCAAGTACTAGTTTAATCTAAATAAAATTTTAGTAGCTGCTATTTTATCTACTTAAATTTTATAAACTGTGTGAGTAGAGTTCAGGACAATTAAAGAGTAGTTATATTATTATAGTATAAATTAACTTTTGCTACATTAAATTTCTTTTTGTTTCACCAATTTGAAACAATTTAACTTAAATATTAAGAAAATAAAAGTGTTTTAAGTATATTTGGTTTTATTAAGTTTTAAATTAGAATGTGACATCTTCAATGTTTTGTTTATCAGGAGTGCTTTGATTTTCACTAGCAAGTGTTCCTTGTGAGAGTGGTGTAGTGTCCAGAGTCTCATCTTCCTCATCTTCTCCATTTATTTCCATCTCAAATACTCTCACTTTCCTTTGAGTATTTGATAATACAACAGCTACTTTCCGATTACCTGAAACTGCAATTCGAAATCCATCCATTTTATCTAGGACTTTATAGACACTTGCATCTAACATGGGTGAATAATTTTTTTTCTGTATTCTTTCACTAAAAATTAAGGATTTTGATTTCATATTAAACTCATTTGAATTTTCTAAGACAGTTTTGAGAGGAACTTGCATAAATATTGTACAACCACAGCTAGGATGTTTTACTAACACTGAGAGATATTCAGCTGAATAAAATTGTAAATCTAAAATTGGAAGGTCCTGTTCAGATATATCATTCTCATCTCGTAACAAACGTGATGTAAAGAAATATTTAGATGCTGTTGCACTACAAAATCTTTCTTTGACATTAACACATATAAAATGTATTCCTTCACCAGGGTGCTCACTGTCTGTGAAGGCTGTCATAAATCTTTCCTCACTGGCATCAAATATCTGAGAGAGCCTTAAGCTATTACTTGGCAAGCTGGTATAGTTTTCATAACACTTTAAAGTATACAATACTGTAAAATATTTTGCCACCTCTTTATTTCTAACATCAAATATTTTTCCAACAGATTTTTTTAAAAAATTTTGCTGTTGGACTAAAGAGAACTTTTTGAAATCCATCATTGAAAAAATAGTATCATTTTCTTTTAAGAGGCATGAATTTTCTTTTAAGAATTTGTGCCATGGATTATCATCATCATCTGGTAATATTGTGAGGTCTTGATCTTGTAAATATTGTCCCAACCGTTCTAGATTAAATTTTACAGGTTTTTCGGGTGTGTTTTCTGAGTTTTCTACTTGTACATTATCAAAATTATACAAAAATTCAGCAATATGAGTGAGTTCTTGTTGAGTAATTTTTACTATTTCACTTGAAGTTTGCTCATCTAATAACCTGACAATAACAACAAAAAGCCATCGAAAGAATGCTTTATAATTGCGCATAGATACATCAATTACTTGTTGTAATTCAAGACATTTGTTTAAAAAGGCACAAGATGCTTTAATAGCTTCAGTTACCAATTTTTCTTCTAATCCTAGAACCTGCAACAAAATAAAGATAAAAAATGTTTGTCACCATTCCAATTAGACATGTGGCAAGTAGGCATTGCATTGTAACACAAAGTTTGAATAATTTCTGTAGAACATAAAAATATATACCTTGTATCTATCTGGTATTCTAGTTAAGCCTCTTAATTCTGCAAGATAATAAGTGAGACTTTGTCCAACAATATTTAGCTGCCTTAAAACTAATTTCTGTATAGTGGAATAGCTTAGTTCAACTGAATTTCCAAATTTCTTTAAGCCTTTAGCAGTCAATTCTTGTAGCAGAAACACTTCTAATTCATCTGATGGCACTCCTGGAAATAATTGCATTAAAATATAATCACTACATCATTTTTATATGCATACGTTCAAATAAAAACTTCATCTTATCTTGAATATTTTATTTATATAAAATGATGTTACCTAACATCAGTAATTCCAATAAATCAGCTGATACTCCTCCATCAGGGACTGATGATGCATAATAGGCCATTTTTGTATCCATTTCTAATAAAATATGTTCCCAAGCCTCAGTTATTGAAGTCATAGTTTTATCCAAATGTGTCATCAAATTTACTACTTGGCCATGTTTACTTGCAACTGTAAATAGCTCTTCTGAGTATGCCGACAATATACTTGTATTTACAAGTGATAAATGAATATTATTTGTTGTTTTATCCAAGTATAGCACTTGCATTATACTAAAATCTTCAGATAAATTGATATCAAGTATTTTATATTCCCCACATTCATCTTTTGTTATCTGGGACAAGTGCATGGTTCCATATGGATATCTTCCAAAGACACTCATGTAAATATCTCCTGTACCATAAGCAATCATTAACATATTTAATTGGTTTTGATCTATATTTTCTTTGAAATTTTTAATGTTATCATCTGGATTTTGATTTTTATATGTGTTACTTGGGGATGGTGGCTTGGGTAAAAATATTGTGGGATCATCCTGAAAATAAGAACAAAGCAATAGTTTACAATATAGTATTACAATAAATTGAACTTGATAACTTTTTATGACATACATAAATATTGTAATCTACTGCACTTTCAAGTGTTCCAGATTTTACAGCCCATGTTATGCATGGAATTCCATAGTTTTGAGCTGTGTAAAATTCCTCAGTTACATCATATGCAAAATCATATTTGTCCAGAATTTCTTTATCTTCAATATCAACAATGCAAACAGTGCCAGTACTGTAGCCAATAGCCAAAGCCTGAAATAAATAATATGACAATATTAGTAAAACATTCCTTTGTTTATTTATTATATATAATCCCTCCACAACCGCAGAAGCGCTGATGTTACAGTTAACAATAGATTAAAATAAGAAATTTATCTGGGGGTGATATTATAGGTCTAATAGTATACCTTTCCATCTGGTCTCCATGCCATTGAATCAACAGAGACATTTTCTTTTGGTGGAGTTAAATTCCAAACTTTCTGCCAATGAAGTCTGTGCACTTGAACCTCACCTAAATTCATACAAAATCATTATTTATTTATTATCTTTTTATAGTCGGTCAGGAGAACATCATCCTAATGTGCAATTAAATTTAATAAGTTCCTTTTTAATTAACGATGCATTTAGTTAGGTACCTTTAAAATTACTGAGTGCTAACAAGTCAAGACGATTACTCCAAACCATGAGATCTACTTGGTTTGCAACATGTTTTTCTTCCATTTGCCGCATACCACAGTGAAACATGGTGATAGTTTTGAATTTTCATTTATTATTTGTAATTTTGGTACATAATTTTTTAAACACAAAATTTAAATAATGCTATTCGTACTAATTCACATTTTTTATACTTCATACGGCAAACCACACTTCTCGTTCAATGTTTTAAAATATTTTTCAGAATCAGTTGTTATTTGTTATTCATTGATTTAATTATTAGCTGTAAGTGTATGACAACTCATGGTCCATGGATGACAAATGACAATTGAAAATAAAGTAGATGAATTAGTTCCATACAAGCTCTTGGTGGATCTATCTATCCCTTTCATTTGTTTGGTAATTAACATGCTATCTCTACATTTGGCGACGAGTGGGAATTTCTGTCGCAGTTACTACGTCACTATTGTGACGTCACGGCAACATCTTGACATTTTTAAAATTTTCAAGATTTAACCGTTGATTCGCTAGATAGTGTCTATCCCCAGTTTATAACTATACTCTTTGGTCTATCGGGCTAAATAGTCGCGTTGTGAGGATGCCATTCAAAGAGTATAGTTATAAACTGATGCCATTGCTGCTGTCTCTCAATCGTCTTAATAATGAGGCAACTTTTTTACGAATTAGCGCCTGATAGCCATCCGTATGAGTCTCAGCAAACATAAGCGACGCAATATGGAGGCAGCCACAGCATCATCCTTGACGACACGATTGGCTCAGTGTGTAGTGACCCTACTTGCTGTGCCAGCGGTCACGGGTTCGAGTCTGGGGGCATTTATTTTGTGACGAGCACGAATGTTTGTACTCCAGTCATGGGTGTTTATATTTATAATATGTATTTAAAGTTTATATATGTGTAGTGTATCAACTATCTGGTATCCATAACACAAGCCTCGTAGCTTACCATGGAACAAGATGGTGCTGTGTGTTAATGTTCCAACATATTTATTTATTTATTTATTTATTAAAGATGTTGTTTTATTGAACATATATTAAAATAAAGGCGCGTTCATAATTTTTTAAAATAAAGGATTTGTTTGTTACATTTCGGTGTTGAAAATATGGTATTTTTGCATACATACTATATATTTCTTCAACAGTATATGGTATGCAGACCTGAAATATAGTACAATACTATAATAATTATAGTATGGTTGGCAACCCTAACCCCAATACCAGTGATTCTTCAGAAATATAAGCAAATTTTGCTCAATTCTCTATTTTATACCTAATCCTATTTTATCTAGGTCATTACCAAAATGAAATATTATACATAGAAATAATGAAAAAATAAAATATATAATTTTATTAACTGTTGCTATTACATAATCCGAAAAAGTCATTGAAAGCTTGTCCTAATCCAGCATCATCTAAATATTTTGATAAACTACTCATATCTAAATGTATTTCTTCAAAATTTTTAAACTTTCTTTCATAATCCATTTCTTCCATCTTAAATATCTCTGTTTTTCTAATTACTATTTTCTTCCAGCACATAGATTTTATGATTTTCCACCATTCCTTACAATAATGTTCGGGGCCTTCTAGGCACACTACTCCTGGTTTACCAGGTAAACAAAAACCTGTCAAACTGTACTCTCTGGCGAGTTTTACAATTTCTTCTCTTTTTTTCTTATTATAAATATGATGTGAATAGATCCATACTCTACAAAAATTTTCAGAAACAGATTTTTCAATAAAATGCACTTTTGATTCTGATTCTGATTGAAATTTTGTATAATATTTTCCAATATTTTCTTGAAGCCATGAAATTGCAGTGTATAAACATTGTTCTCTAAAATGATTAATCTTAATAAAATCACTCAAATCTTTATTTAATGCAGTTTCTTGCTGTCGGTTTAATTGGTTACATCTTACATATATATCGGGTTCTTCTTCTGGGTAAAAACTTGGTAAATTTATTGATGTTTCTAATTTCAAGCTATCAATAATTAAATTCAATGTGAAGTCTAAATGATTTGGTGTATAATTAGTCTTATTGCTTATAAAATCTTTTATAACATTAAGTATTTTGGGATCAGTAAAAATAATATCATTAGAATCTGGGTATATAGAAGTTAATACTTCAATTTCACTTATCTGTTGTGTTAAGCAAATAACTAATTTTGATTTTAAGTTCTCCTCGTCTTCCTCCATGTTTTTATTAATTGTACTTGCATGGATGGTTAAATCCATTTTTAGAATTTGGAGTTCAATAACATAGACGAATAATAAACTTCAATAGGTATATTACATGGATAATAAATTATAAAGTTTTATGGTGTAATCAGTAATTGATTCGGTATTTATGACACTGATCACTGATGAGGATGACATAAGACAATGAGACATCAATCATGATTCATGACTGACATTGTCAGTGTCTGACAATGACTTCTATGAACTGTCACCACTAATAACCACTAGTAAACCATTTATAAAAAGCTGTAAGGAGCCCATCTCAGTGTATTAAAAAGTGTCCATTGAAAGGGAGCAAATTAAGGTGACGCTATAGTAGCAAGTGGAAGAATTTTAAAAGGAGTGCCACAAATTATTAGGTTAATAAATTAAAAAAGGAAAGAAACATTTTCGCTTTGTTTTTTATTAACATGAATATGGAATAAAATTGTACAGTATTTTTAAGTACCCCAATTATTTGTAAATTGCAAATAGAAAATAGTATTAAATAATAATCAAAATAAAAAAAAAAAATTAAAATTGTAACAAGCAAACTTTTAACCCAGCACTTCACTCTGTTTATAACTGCTAAATTCATATCATTTCCATTTCATATACTAGCGCTATTTTAGTGAGTGTTCGAACAATATTTGCTGTTTACAAGTGAACACTTTTTCAACCAATCCCCCATACAAGACGGTCCTCCTTACTTCTACTCTCCATAGCTGCCAGGACTCCGGTCTCTGGGAGTGAGAAAGATGACGATTATGCCATCTGCTGGGAAAAAACATAAACAAAGTGATGGTTAACAGTCCCTGTTTTTCAATTACAGCTATAAAGCGCATTATGCGGCATAAGGCTAATTAGGATGTTCCAACTACAGCAACGCTCCGCTCAATTGAGTATTTTGAAAAGTACTGCTTTAGCGTGATGCGCGCAAGGATACCAACTCATTAACAGAAAATATGAGAAGTGTTTTTTCTTCAACGTGGCATTGATCATAATTTTATTTCCATTAACGTTAGTAATATTTGCTTACACTTTATTTATATAATTATATATTCATTAGTTATATATTATTATATATTTATACTAATATTATAAAGAGGTAAAGTTTGTGAGTTTGTGGCGTTGTAGGAGGTAATCTTTGGATCTACTGAAACGGTTCAAATAATTTTTGCCCTTTTTTATCGTTTTGACCTCTGATCCGATCATTTTTTATTGATAAAAACCAAATTTTATTATTCTTTGCATTATTTAAGCATAATTAATATTATTTATTACACAGCTTACATCTCTTATGTTTTTCATATTTAGCACCAGGGCGCTCTACTTTCGACAGAAGTGCTGCTCTCTATAGTTAACTGTCGTCTGTCAAATGTCAATTCTGTTGAACAGTGAACTTTGAATTAAATATCAATGTCAATTGTCATTAACCAGGAAAACGAATGTGAACAAATTTCTGAAGAAAAACGAAGCTTGAAAATAGATTACTTTATTATTATATATAATTACATACCCAAATATTTGTATTTGCTCTTATGATGGCTTCGCCTTTAGAACAATTTGTCAATAATGTAAGAACTACTTCATCGTCAGGTAAATGATTACTATTTTGTTTATAAAATCTTTAATACCGGAATAGTTTATTTCATTATAGTTTTGTATTTAAGGTAATTTTCGTGAACTTTGTGACATTATTGGAAAATCAGATGAGGTTTTACAACGGAATAGTGCTCATCTTAACACAGTTTTGGAGACACTAGATATACAACAACATTCCCTTGGTGTTCTAGCAGTACTTGTTGCTAAATTCTCCCTTCCACAGGTAATAAGTGGTCAGTACTTATTAATGAACATTTTTTTATTGGGTATTAATAGTTTTTGTTTTCAGGGAAATAATGATGTTGATAGATCAACAATGTATCAACAGATACATGATTTTATTAACAATTGTAATGGTGAACAAGTTAGATTCTGTCCAGAATTATGTAAGTTAAAAACCTAAGTACTACTTTTATTATTCTTTTTTTTTTCAAGTAATAGTTTTTATTGCTCCATTATGTCAATATCTTATTATGGTCTATCCTTGCAGATGCTGATTTATGTCATTTACTAACCGATCATCTTGTTGAATTAAAACAACCAATACGGGGAATTGAAATTTTAAAAAAGGCTATACGAAAAATTCAGTTATTTGATTCACAGTTAACATCAATTCATGCTGATCTGTGTCAATTGTGTCTTTTATCAAAATGTATGAAACCAGCTCTAGAATTTTTAGAAACTGATGTGACAAGTATTGGTACAGAGGTACGCATTTTGTTATCATATTTTAAAAACTTAAAAAAATCATCAAAATATAATATTTTCTAAGTATCAACTTATTATACCTGAAGATAAAAAATACATAAATACTGAGCACATGTAATGTAATGTAATGTAAGGTGGACTCGTTTTCCGCACTTAGACTCTCTTCTGGTCCGTTGTGCGTGCGAATCCTGGCTATATTAGCCAGCCTAGCTCCGCCCAGAAGCGCAGAAGTTTCCTGGGAACTTCACAGGCTTCGCGGAGCGACCTCACTGGTCCGAGGATTTCTTCACGTTGAGAACTTACCGCTACGCATTCCAGGATTACGTGGGCAGCTGTTTCTTCAGCGTCGAGGCACCCTCTGCACAGAGGGGTGTCCGTTGCGCCGATGTTATATAGGTGTTTGTTCAAGGGACAGTGGCCCGTTATCGTCCCTATCATTATTTTGAGATTTGTTCTATTGAGGTTTATTAAGCGTTTTGTAAGTCGTGGGTTTACTGCAGGCAGAGCTGATCTTGATTGTCTGCAGTCTGCAGTTTGTGACCATCTGTTGTTTTGTAATGTCGTGGATCTTTGGCGGATCCAGGAGCGAATCTGTGCAAAGGGTATGGGGAGAAGTGGGAGTGGGCCAGTCACTTCTAGTTTTGACCCCCTCTTTGCAAGTTCGTCAGCTGCATCGTTGCCAAGTGAACCACTGTGTGCCCTGATCCATTGAAGGGTGACCTGATTTGTTGTTGATATCAAGTCCAGGGCATTGTGACATTCACTTATTAGTTTGTTGTTGGTTTGTTTGTTATTTAGCGTCTGCAGAACTGCTGCACTATCGGAGAGTATTTTTATATTATAGTTGTTTACTTCACGACTGTACACGGTTCTTGCGGCTTCCGTTATGGCTACACATTCACATTGGAAAATCGAGCTGTGTATGCCTAATGGTATTTGTATTTTGATGTTGAGATCAGGGGAAAATACACCGGCTCCTGAGCCTTCACGTGTCTTTGAGCCATCAGTATAAATCCGTAGCTCATTGGCAGGTGAGTGGTCTTGTTCCTCTTCTCTCATAGTTATTTTATATCTTTTGTTAAATATATATTTATTGTGTGTTCTGTCACACGGGGCAGCAATAAGTGGTTCGTGTCCTATTGCCCTATCCAGTATGGATGTGTGTGGACTATGGTGGTTTTTACCCCATAGACCTAAATGCATCAGTCTTATAGCAGCCATAGTCGCTTCTTGCTGTATGAATAGGTCCAGGGGTGTTGTCTGGAGCGCAACCTCTATTGCTGCTGTGGGGGTTGTTTTCATGGATCCACTGGTAGCAGACAGTGCCAGCCTTTGAAAGCGTGCTAGTTTGGTGATTGTAGTCCGGAGTTCCGTTCTAGTCCACCAAACCAGAGCCCCATAGGTTAGCATTGGTCTTATTACGGCAGTGTATAACCACATCGTTATTTTCGGCGAAAGGCCCCATCTTTTTACATTGATAAAAGGCAATAGTGGATTTGTTTAGTTTGTAGTCAAGGTGCTTATTCCAGAGCAGTTTGCTGTCTAGAATTACACCCAAATATTTGACTGCATCCTTAAGTTTTAGTTCTGTGTTGAAGAGTTTCGGGAGTCTGTGAGGTCCGGGTACTCTTCGGTTGGTAAACATGATTAATTCGGTTTTTAAGGGATTGACAGAGAGTTCGTGTTTACGACACCAGTTCTCTGTTATTTTGAAGGCTTTCCTCATTAGATCACATAAGGTGCTTTCAAAATTCCCTGATATTAAAATGGCTATATCGTCAGCATACCCCACCGTGTAAAGGCTATTGTTGTTTAGCTCTGTTATGAGTTCGTTAACAACAAGGTTCCATAGCAGTGGAGACAAAACTCCGCCCTGTGGACAGCCCTTACTTACGATGCCTCGCGTCGTGGTGTTAACAGTAAACTGTATAGCCCGTTGTTTTAACATGTTCTTTATCCATTCTATGAGTGTTGGGTCTACCCCATTCGCGTGCAGAGCTCTACTAATGCTAGAGAAGTTCGTTTTATCAAAAGCTCCCTCTATGTCTATAAAGGCACCTAGGGTTGGTTGCTTTAGATTCAACGAGCCACCTATGCGAGAGACTACACTATGGAGTGCTGATTCAGTTGATTTTCCTGTGCTATATGCATGTTGGTTGGGATGTAGTGGGTTGGAAGTTGATAGCTGACTTCTAATCTCTCTATCCCCTAGTCTCTCCAGTGTCTTTAGAAAGAACGAGGTGAGACTAATAGGTCTAAAGGATTTAGCCAGGGTATAATCCTCCCTGCCCGGTTTAGGTATGAAGATTATTTTTACTTCTCTCCATTTCAGCGGTATATAGCGGTGTGCTATACAGGCTTGGAACAGCGTCACCAGGTAATCTGCTACGATGTTCAAACCCCATTTTAGCAGCCCTGGGAAGATTCCATCGAGGCCTGCAGCTTTGAAAGGGAGGAAGGTGTTTATAGCCCATATTATTTTCTCTTTGGTAACAATGTTTTTAGCTGCGTTCCAGTCTAGACTGCTGGTAACTCTTTCTGCATATGGCTCCCATAATTGCGTATTCGCTATTTGGCAGCCAGGAAAGTGGGTTGTTAAGAGCAGTTCGCTGGTTTCCGCGTCGGTTTTGGTGTATGAGTTATCTGGTTTTTTGAGGCAGCCAATTGAGTGGTTTGCCTCTTTGGAGAGGCATGCCTTTACTCTGATTGCCTGGTTATTGTTTTCTATACTGGAGCAGAAAAGTCTCCAGCATTCTTGCCTCCTAAGGCGTATAAGTTTCTTATAATGTTTCCTAGCTACTGTATAGGCGTCCCAGTCGACTTGCGTACGGCTGTTCTTCGCCCTGTTGAACAGCTTCCTGACTTTCCGGCGGTGTCTTTCCAGTTCGGGACACCACCAGTGTTGTTTCCCTCCCCATCGTGGTATGGTGAGAGGACAGGACTGCTCGTAGCTCTCTAGGAGTAGTGACGTAAGACTATCCACGTATTTGTCTATGTCAGTTACACTAAGGGTTTTTGTTGTTGTGAGCCGTTTTCCTATCTCAGAGCTGATCAACCTAATGAACTTAGGTTGATCTGTCCTTTGAGGTATTCTTCTCGGTGTTGGTTTAGGTAAGTTCATGTCGATGGTGAAACGAATCCATCTGTGGTCCGAACAGGAAAGTTCATTGGACACATGCCAGTTATGGATGTTTTGTGACACTTCTGTCGTTGCCATCGTCAGGTCTATTATGGTTTGGGAACGTGCGTTTATAAATGTTGGTTCCGAGCCTTTATTCAGTAGAATAAGATTATTGCTGAAAATAAAGTTGAGTGTATCCTCACCTCGGGTGTTTGTAGTGGCATTTCCCCACAGCGTGTGGTGTGCGTTGGAGTCTGCCGCGATGATCAGGTCCAGTTTCTCCCTCTCACAGTACTCAACCAATGAGTTGAGCTCTGGAGTCGGTGTGTCCTCGTCACCCGGCAGATAGGCGGAGGCAAGGACAAGGTCGGGGAGCTGCTGGTCAGTTCTTGAGAGTTTTATTGCTGTTAGGTTCCTTGAACATAATTCGTTTATTAGTAGGGTTGGTACATGTTTCGGCATGAAAATACAGGTTCTTGGATTACTTACGGAGGTGTCAAGTATTATTTTTCCTCCGATGTTTCCAAGACCGCATATACGGCCGTTCCTTATCCACGGCTCCTGGATTAAGGCTATGGTTTTGGGGTTTTGTTCCAGCACTCTGCGAAGGGAAGCCGTCGCAGTTTGGCTGTGCTGGAGGTTTGCTTGGATGAAGTTAGCAGTCTTGGATGGGAGAGGAGCGGAGACAGCTGTCGCTGAGTTCACTCCCCCCCATTTCCTGAAAGCATTCTTCATCCGTGGTGTTAGGCACTGGTGATGGAGAGTGCAACACTTCCATAGCAACCGGGACCTCCATTTCCTCCGTGGCTGGCACGTCAACTTCCATTGAAGGAACGGAGTGCACAGGTTCTGAGGGGCTCGGTTCTGGTGCCGTGGAAGCGGTTGCAGCAGTAGTGTTGTCCTGTATGGGGTCCTCTTTGTCCAGGAATCGGACGTAGATGTTCCCCATAAGGTAGTAGATACGCCTTTCCTGTTCTTTCAGGGTTTTGACGTCCGTCTCCGGCACCCGGTAGAAGAGTTGGGTCCCTGGTGGGTCCTGTTTACTTCTTTCGTGCGTCAGAGACCATGACTTCATGTTTAGATTGCGGTTTTGCCTCGCAAGGAGCTTCCTGAGCATCTCTGTATTCCCGGTGTGTCCAGGAACATAAAGCATGCACGGGATCTTCTTAGGTAATGCCGATTGAGGCAGCACCGCCAGTTTGGTATCCGTTATTGGTGACTCTATGTTGGTTACCGTTCGGGTGAGCCAGCCTAGCGTGAACGCATCCTCACACCATGTCTTGAGGACGCCGTCAGCGAAGTGAGCTCTCCCCCGAAACCGGATGTCGTTAGGTTCAGTTTGTAGGGTGGCGTCCGGGTCGGCCATAAGGTGGTCACGCAGTTTCCCCTCAATGGTCGCGCGAATGCCCTCTGCTTGTTCTTGCGTCATTTCCGAAAAGGGTTCGGTCATGACAGCAACACAGAGTTCGTTCGCTCTATAGGACGCCGCTACTTCCGCGTAACTTGCCGAGAGTCCTCCCGCCAGCCGGGGTCTGCTAGGTTTTACCCTTTTGCTTTCCCCGGTCGGTGTGATGGTGTCTTCAGGCCGTGTACGCTTCTGTCCCTTTGTTGTTTGTTCATTGTTTGCTATGTTCTCTGTGGGCTTTTTACGACCTCTAGGTTTCATGCTGCGCTTGCGCACATGTTGCGCAGGCGCGGTGTTGGGCTTCGCCTGAGTAGGTTCCCCCCCCTTATGCGCTGAAGCCGTAGCCTCTGCACGACCAGGGTTGAGGTCCTCGATTTGCCTCGCGGCATCAGCTGCCGCAGCACGCTGCGCCACCGCTCTGGCTTTCTTAAGGCGTCGTTTTTTGGATGCTGTCATGTGCTCCGTGAAGGCCGGTTCCAACTGAATGGCGTCTCTCAGAGCTGACATATCCATTGTTGTTTGTGAGTTTTTTGAGGTTGAAGGCATGTTCACCGTTTTAGCCTGGGTCAGTCCCGACGGGTTCGCCGCGGATGTCGCACCTTCAGACGCAGACGTTGCCGTCGCAACTTCGGGCGCAACTTTCCTTGGCTTATCCGTGCTAGGAGCCGTCCCAGGTGTGGCAGTGTGCACACCTTTGGTCGTTGTTGAGGTGGACTTTGACGCAGAGGAAATAGACTGAGACGCAGCCCGGTTTGGCGCATCTCTGTCCGTTCTCCCCCTTGCCTGGTCCTTTGACGCTGCCTGAGTCGGCGCATCCTTAGGGTTTGTGGGCCTAGGGGCATCTCGGGATGTCACTTCCAGCGGTGTCCGCCTTGGTGCATCTCGAGACGCAACCCTTGCCGTCGTTGGGTTTGGCGCATCAGATGACGCAGCCTGTGTTGGTTTTGTGGTTTTTTGTTTTAATGCCTCTTTGTCCATAGAGGTGTTAGGGTTACTTCACCGTTGGAGCTCTCCACCCGCCACGGAGCCCTCAAGTCGGGGACGTCAACTGCTCAGCAGCCGATCGTCAGAGCTACTCCTTCGGTATAGAGCCAGTGTGTTGGGAGAAAGACGAGTCCGCACGCAGCAAAGGAAAACAGGGTTGCACACATCATGAGACGATGATACGCGCTCACCCCGAGCCCCGTGCCGCGCCGACTGCCCTCCCCCAGACACCGACTCTCGCTTGATAGCCCGCTTATGGGATATCGCAGCCGATTGACCATGGTTAGCTACTCCATGGCCTCCCGTGTGAAGAGAAATCCGGACCAAAGAAGTGTGTTGTGTGCAGCGTGCAACTGTTGCCGGCCCACTGCTCCACTCAACTCCCAGGACTCCTTCATCCTCCGGTACGGGTCCCCGCGCACGGCACAAACACGCGGGAGGTCATTAGCTATCCACCCTCTTGTCATTTTAGATGATGGACTCGCAAGGACATGACCTCAGCATCCCTGCAATTAGGCGCCTGGAGGTTTCGGTTGTGTCTACTGCTTAGGGCAATAGACCTATAACAGGGCTGGCAACCTCTAGAAGGATAGTCCACCAGACTTGCCTTGGGGATCTCAGCGACCTGCGCTACTCCCAAGACCTCGCCCCCTCACCACCTCTGAAGGAGGTGATGAGGTAGGCCTGCGCCTATACTACCATGCAAAGCAAGCAAAAGCAAAAGCAGAACATGTCGTAATGGGAACCGTAAAAGCATAGGCTCAGACCCGCCCCTACTGAGCACATTAATGTAATTTCTTTCTCATTGTTGATATATTAAGCTAAAACTTGAATGAGGAATTGGTTTGACAAAATTTTATGAAAAAATATATATTGCCGTCCCCGGGGAATAAAATGATTACTGATATTACCATAGTTTTAGTGTTATCCCATATTTGAAGTCTACAGTGCGCCTAATACGTCTACCCAATTTTTTTCGTGAATATCCAGCCATTATTCAAAAAGTTATAGAATAATGCAATTATTTTCGTCACTGTTTCAAACACACAAGGCTTTTTGAAAAAAAATATGACGTAGTGAAACTGTTTCTTCATTAAAGATCAACAAAAACTTGTCTAATAATATTCTCGAAAAACAAATCGGCGAAATAATTGTGAACGCTATTGTCATTTTGTTCTCGTAAAAATCTGTTTAGGCTCGGTGACTAACATTTTGTAGTAAATAGTACTAATAATGACTGAGCAAAGAAACATCTTGCCATTATTTTCTGTCATTGGAGCAAGCTTACATTAGACAGTGATAACATATTATACATATTAACTAGAATAGAATGCCAAGTGATATTGTTTTCCGTTAGTTTAGTCTGTATTGTTTGTTAAATATTATTGTAAAACAGTAAGTCAATACTCACAATCTGTTAAAAGAAAAGAGAATAAAATGCTAAGTGTTATTAGTAAATAAAACCAACAACAAAATTTTAGTAACTTTTTAAATTCTAAATATCTTCAGTTCGGATAACCTTATTAAAACATTACAGAAGTTAAAAAATTAGCTGTCATTGAGCTTTTTTTATCTCTCTACGTCTATTGCTTAGAAAGTTAAAGTCAAAAATTGGTTTTTTATTTTTCCTGAAAAATTGTGTTTTTGCAGTTATCATTTTATTCTCCGGGGGTAGATATTATTTTAATTTTTTTTCTTAAATGGAGTTTATAAATAATATCGTTAAAAGTGTGATAATTACTTATACCAGAAGTGTTAAATTACAGATATTATTCAATAAAAATATGAATTTATTTCAGCTTGGAGGTGTGAATGACTCTAAACATTTTCTATTGTACTATTATTATGGAGGAATGATCTATACAGCTATGAAGAATTATGATAGAGCACTATACTTTTTTGAAGTCGTAGTTACTGTTCCTGCAATGGTAGTTTCTCATATTATGTTGGAAGCGTATAAAAAATATATTTTAGTCTCATTGATTTTACATGGAAAGGTAAATTATTTATTTTTAATTACAAATATAATAACAGTATTTTGACTGCTTAATTGGTCTATTGGCTAAGCTCAATATAAGTTAACATTGATACTTGATACCAATTGTAGTCAGTTAGTCTTCCATATAATATGCCAAACCCTTTGTTTGCATATAGGGTCCATGAATTTGATCTCTTTGTAGTTAAGTGAACTGGAGTGAATAATGAGGCAACAGAGACTGCACTTGTATATGCATAAGTACCTACACCGGTAGAGTTTATAGCTGAGATATTTTCTGTATAGCTAGTTTGCTTAGTCAGACTTATTAGTAAAAAAAAAACATTATGATTGTTCTTTTTATAATCACTTAAATATTATGTGTTACTAACACCATAGATAATAAATTCTTACAATTACTATTAATAATTCTCTTTTTATGTGTCATATTTGCTTAAAAATAAAAAATTGAAAATATAAATTTCAGATATTACCAATGCCCAAATACACATCCCAAGTTGTTTGTCGTTTCCTTAAGCCATTATCTGTTGCCTACCATGAGCTGGCTACATCTCAACATGCTGCTATAAAACATAGAGAAACTTTTGTGAGAGATAAAAATATGGGGCTGGTGAATCAGGTAATACTTATTTTTCATAAAGCTGACTCCATGGCCTAGAGCGGTCTCCTAGCCTATTGAGGCCTTGGGTTCAATTCCTGCATAGCACCATGTTTTATATATTGATTATATGAACTTATATTTGTTTTGATCTGTCATTAGACATAAGAAAATATTATATACTAATAAATAGTTTAATAAACTAAAGGGACTTTCTCCACAAGGGAAAGAATGTAATGATAAAATTTTACAAGTTAATATATGAACTGCCTGGGAGTCTAGTGGCTAGCTGTACGGCTGCACACCCGGAGGTCCTGGGTTCGAGTCCCGGGTCAGGCCAAGTTTAATTACTGAGTTTTTCTGTTAAGATAATTTTAGTAGTAGCCCAGAGTTGGGAAGTTGGTGGTGTTGCACCCCTTGGAGAGCACGTAAGGCCGTCGGTCCTACACTTTAACTGTTACCGGTCGTCTCGAAGTATCGTCCTTTTCGATTTTGAAGAGTAAAAGGTATAGAGAATGCACTTGCGTCTACGCGTACATTTGTACACTATAATATTTCCTATACATATTTGGCTAGTCTCAGTGACATTGGCCACCGTGGCCGAAATCGGTCGGAGGACTATTATTAAATGCAAGTAGATAAGATCTTGCAAAGAGATATTACAATAGTGCTAGTTGTGTGAATGATAGATTTAATTATATGTTGTTTTTTGCTTTAGGTGCTGAGTTCTATGTACAAGAAAAATATTCAAAGATTGACCAAGACATTTTTGACACTTTCACTAAGTGATGTAGCATCTCGTGTCCAATTGTCTGGTCCAACACAAGCTGAAACCTATATACTCAACATGGTATGATACATGACAATATTATAAAATATGAAATATCTATATTAAAAAATTTAACACCTCCAGGTAAATTTCTAAGAAATTAATTAAAATTCTAAGAAATCTATTGTTAACTAACACACCGGCGTGTCCGCGGTCGTGGAGGGACTATATACCAGCTAGCTGACTCAACAGATATTTTCTATAATTTCTTTTTAACCGACTTCAAGAAGGAGGAGGTTCTCAATTCGATTGTTTTTTTTTTTATGTATGTACACCGATTACGCTGAGATTTATGATCCGATTTATGTGATTCTTCTTTAGTTTGATGTGGAATAGTTGCCATTTGGTCCCATAAAAATTTAACATAGTTTGGCCCAGTAGTTTTCATTTTATGAACATTTTTGTTTACGTGGACGATGTCATTATATTTTAGTTTGTGTACGGCTTTTTTAGGAGTTTTCATTTAGGTTGATTATATATTATTATTATTAACCCGTGTCCCGATAAGTGGGTATTAGGCTACCTGTCATTGGAGCGGAGCGAGCGTGCGGAGTAAAGAAACTGTGAATATTGTACAGTAATTACATTATTACCTACTGTTAACTGTAGTTTACAGAACAACCTATTAGACACAAAAAGTATAAAATAATTTAATAATGATTTATTAATACATCTCTTATGCCAACCTAATACTTTTAATATTAAGTACCTGGGCGACCGAGCTTTGCTCGGAGTTTTTGGCCAAAAAAAACATTAAAAAAAACAAACTAAGAATTTGAATAAAAATTACAAAAAAAACAAAATTAAAAACTTTGTGTCCGACCGGGATACGAACCCAGATACCTATGGTTGTCAAACTTGCGCATTGGCCGCTTGACCATGATGCTTATATCTGAGCGTGCGAAATTATCGAACATAATATTTTGCGTGGAATTATTAATTATTAATTTATTGAAATAATGCAAAAGAAATCATAATAATAATAAATCTCTATTTATTTATTCATTTATTTCTTATAAAGGCTTACTAACTAAATTTACATAAAAACATTTATTTAACATTATAATTTTACCTATCTGTATATAAATTTAATTTAAAAGTATGCACAGCTTTTTATAAAAGTATTCCATTAAAATTTTATTTGGTTAAGAGTATATAAGGAGCCATTTTAGTTGTACAATAAAAAAAATGTCTATATCACATTGCTGAAATATAAAATTATATAATTTAGTGACTATTTATTAACTTATAACTTTTTAACTAATAATTTTGTAATCTGGAATTAAATTATTTTAAAAATCTTCACATTATTTGAAATGATATTCTATATATATAAATTATCATTAACAAATAAATAAATAAACAATCACAATAAATTAAATAATTCAATTGAGTAAATACTAAACATTTCACAATAATAAATATAAATAAAATTTCTTTCCATACGTTAATTCTGACAATAGTTATAAATTAGGTATTTAATTTCATAATTAAATGTATTTATTTAGTAAATGTCTTTTTCATGTATAGACCCCTCTCGGTTAAAAGCCTCCTCCAAAGTAGTCCTGCATAGAGCTCTCCATTGGAGATTATGCTTGTATGATTGCAAAGGGTTTCTTTCAAATTTTGTTTTCAATATATAATTTGTTTCTGATATGCCTATAAAGTTTATAATTTTATCTTTGTGTTCTTTTGATTTGTTGTAGGAAATGCTGCTTTTAATTCTAGAAGTTTTTCTGGTGAAGATATGTATACCTTTGTTCATTGTATGTCTGTTTTTCTTTGGAGGGTTACGGTCGAACTCCCCCACAGTGACCGGCCGTACTGGTGGATAAAGATGAGGAGGTTCCTACGGTGTTTAATATACTGTATCTTGCTGTGTTGTTTTTAGTTGTTCCTGGTTATCATTTGTGTGGTTGAAAGTTAATTTTGGTTTTTGTAATATAAAGTCTTTATTATTACCAGGTATGGTTTTCTTTGTATGTTGTTTATTTGTTAGTTTTTGTTTATAATTGAGGTAACGCGTTTCTGGAGATACAGGCAGACTTCTTTTTTATTACCGTTTAGTTTAAGACTATTTTTTCCTATAGTTCATGATAGGATTTTTCACCTTCTTCTACTCTGAACATAACCAAGTTCTTGCGCCTAATATGTCTTTCTAAATCATTTGAGATACTTTGTTCCTGGATTTTTTTCTCAAGAACTTCAATTTTTATTTCTAACTGTTTAAATTTCTCATTTAACTATATTATTGTTGATTGTATTTTTAATGTCTTCTTTCATTTCTAACATTTCTGTTTTCTGCTGTCTTATTTCTTGTTGCATGTTTATTAGCAACTTTTTTATGTCCTCCATAGTAGTGTGAAGTTGGAAGTAGAAAAGCTGATTGAAAAAGTGCACCAATTATACCTAGTTGAATTGCAATTTTATACCGAGTACCTATTAGTTTTTGAGGTTATAAAAACTTATGTTTTAATATTTGACGCTTTCACTTCATAAATTATTTTGTTTTATTGTCATCACACACAGAATGATGACAGATGGTTTTGCACTGATAGTATCTTTAAGTTATGTTTGTCACTTTTGTATTTGTTTGGTAGGTGAATTGTTAAAAGCTCATTTGTTCTTCAACACATCAAGACTTGGTGATGTTTACATATTGCCCATAGGTTTTATTTAAAAAAAATCCATTTTTCTTTAGATTATTTTCACTTAAATATATTTAAACTTGATGTAAATACGGACACGATGTTGACAGTTGCACAGTGGCGCCGCCAACTCACCAGAAGTGACATTGCAAAAATTGTGAAAATGCAAAAGAAAATCGCATGAAAATTCGAAAATTCGCGTTTTTCCAGATATAAGACTAATCTAGATCGATTTATCGCCCCCGAAACCCCTTGCGTGGTAAATTTCATGAAAATCGTTGGAGCAGTTTCCGAGATTCAGATTATATATTGATATATATATATATATATATATATATATATATATATATATATATATATATATATAGTACCTGGGCGACCGAGCTTTGCTCGGAGTTTTTGGTCAAAAAAAAACATTAAAAAAACAAACTAAGAATTTGAATAAATACAAAAAAAAACAAAATTAAAAACTTTATGTCCGACCGGGATTCGAACTCAGATACCTGTGGGTGTCAAACTTGCGCATTGGCCGCTTGACCATGATGCTTATATCTGAGCGTGCGAAATTATCGAACATAATATTTTGCGTGGATTTATTAATTATTAATTTATTGAAATAATGCAAAAGAAATCATAATAATAATAAAGCTCTATTTATTTATTCATTTATTTATTATAAAGGCTTACTAACTAAATTTACATAAAAACATTTATTTAACATTATAATTTTACCTATTTGTATATAAATTTAATTTAAAAGTATACACAGCTTTTTATAAAAGTATTCCATTAAAATTTTATTTGGTTAAGAGTATATAAGGAGCCATTTTAGTTGTACAATAAAAAAATGTCTATATCACATTGCTGAAATATAAAATTATATAATTTAGTGACTATTTATTAACTTATAATTTTTTTACTAATAATTTTGTAATCTGGAATTAAATTATTTTAAAAATCTTCATATTATTTGAAATGATATTGTATATATATAAATTATCATTAACAAATAAATAAATAAACAATCACAATAAATTAAATAATTCAATTGAGTAAATACTAAACATTTCACAATAATAAATATAAATAAAATTTCTTTCCATACATTAATTCGACAATAGTTATAAATTAGGTATTTAATTTCATAATTAAATGTATTTATTTAGTAAATGTCTTTTTCATGTATAGACCCCTCTCGGTTAAAAGCCTCCTCCAAAGTAGTCCTGCATAGAGCTCTCCGTTGGAGATTATGCTTGTATGATTGCAAAGGGTTTCTTTTCAAATTTTGTTTTCAATATATAATTTGTTTCTGATATGCCTATAAAGTTTATAATTTTATGTTTGTTTTCTTTGATTTGTTGTAGGAAATGCTGCTTTTAATTCTAGAAGTTTTTTTGGTGAAGATATGTATACCTTTGTTCATTGTATGTCTGTTTTTCTTTGGAGGGTTACGGTCGAACTCCCCCACAGTGACCGGCCTTACTGGTGGATAAAGATGAGGAGGTTCCTACGGTGTTTAATATACTGTATCTTGCTGTGTTGTTTTTAGTTGTTCCTGGTTATCATTTGTGTGGTTGAAAGTTAATTTTGGTTTTTGTAATATAAAGTCTTTAATATTACCAGGTATGGTTTTCTTTGTATATTGTTTATTTGTTAGTTTTTGTTTATAATTGAGGTAAGGCGTTTCTGGAGATACAGGCAGACTTCTTTTTTATTTCCGTTTAGTTTAAGACTATTTTTTCCTCTAGTTCATGATAGGAGTTCATGAAAGTTCTTGCGCCTAATATGTCTTTCTAAATTATTTATTGAGGTACTTTGTTCCTGGATTTTTTTCTCAAGAACTTCAATTTTTATTTCTAACTGTTTAAATTTCTCATTTAAGTATATTATTGTTGATTGTATTTTTAATGACTTCTTTCATTTCTAACATTTCTGTTTTCTGCTGTCTTATTTCTTGTTGCATGTTTATTAGCAACTTTTTTATGTCCTCCATCTTATATGTGAAGTTGGAAGTAGAAAAGCTGATTGAAAAAAGCACCAATTATACCAAGTTGAATTGCAATTTTATACAGAGTATTAGTTTTTGAGGTTATAAACTTATGTTTTAATATTTGACGCTTTCACTTCACAAATTATTTTGTTTTATTGTCATCACACACAGAAAAGATGGTTTTGCACTAATAGTATCTTTAAGTTATGTTTGTCACTTTTATATTTGTTTGGTAGGTGAATTTTTAAAAGCTCATTTGTTCTTCAACACATCAAGACTTGGTGATGTTTACTTATTGCCCATAGGTTTTATTTAAAAATTTATTTTTATTATTTAAATTTATATTTATTCTTTAGATTATTTTCACTTAAATATATTTAAACTTGATGTAAATACGGACACGATGTTGACAGTTGCACAGTGGCGCCGCCCACTCACCAGAAGTGACAATGCAAAAATTGTGAAAATGCAAAAGAAAATCGCATGAAAATTCGAAAATTCGCGTTTTTCCAGATATAAGACTAATCTAGATCGATTTATCGCCCCCGAAACCCCTAGCATGTTAAATTTCATGAAAATCGTTGGAGCCGTTTCCGAGATTCAGATTATATATTGATATATATATATATATATACAAGAATAGCTCGTTTAAATATATAAGATATATATATATATATATATACAAGAATAGCTCGTTTAAATATATAAGATAAAATACTATTATTTGTATGTGCTACCTATTGATAGGTTTGAAGTGGGTGCCTTTAGTATAGATTTCTCAGATCGTAGCGAGTGTAGGTACCTACTATTATATTTGGTTTACATAAGAGGTGTGTGAAATTAAATCTGTATTATGTTACTAGCAGAACCCGCGGCTTCGCTCGCGCTAAAACTACAGAAAAGATAGTTTCAAGCAACCTTTCATCCCCTATTTTACCCCCCTTTAGAATGAATTTCGAAAAATGCAAAAACACGTATTTATTTAATTTCATTGAATAGGATTAATACCAAATTTCAAGCAATTATATAATAAATATTTTTTAGGATTGTATTGTAACGTGTTTTCGCGTGGGAATTAGATAATCTTCCGCGGTAAAAAGTAGCCAATGTCACTCTCCAGCCCTCCAACTATCTCCACACAAAAAATCACGCCAATCCGTCTCTCCGTTTCGACGTGAGAGAAGGACAAATAAACAAACAAATACACTTTCACATTTATAATATTAGTATGGATTTTATACTTTTTAGTTTTGAAGTCGGTTTTTTTTAACGCAGTTTTTTTTATTTTCTAAAATTCTACGCTACGCCATTTGACCCAGAGCTTTTTCGGAATGAAAACATTAAATATTGTAAATGTAATTTATTTTAGTCTATAAATACAGAAGTTTTATTAGCTTCATTATAAGGTCACTTATCAGGACTATAAGTATGGTATATAGCAATATCGATATAATACATCTTAAATTATCCATTATATCTATTTCGCCATCCATCGTATGTTAGTGGAACTACGACAAAAACCCTCTGATTGGATGCCTTTATAACACCAAAGTTATCATAATTGGATGAAGACGTTAAATATTAAAATATTTTTTAGGGCCGATGCTAAGTGTAACATGAACGTACCTCGTCTGCAAATAATTTACAAGCGTTTGTCGATAGCGCGTTAAATAATTGTCATATGATATGCATAGGCCATTATACATTAGATATATGTATAGTATTTAAAAGGCTGAATTACTGACCATTGTCTTACGAATCTATATTATGAAAATCAATTGCCGTTCGTTGGTCTCGCTAAAACTCAAATATGGCTTGACCGATTTGAATAATTCTTTTTTTGTTTTGTTGGGGGCGTGTCAGGGGTGGTTTAAACTGGAAAATCAAAAAGTTCAGAATTGTTTATTTTATATAGGAACACCTCTTTGGATTACTTTCAATAGTGCGGACCTAGCATCTACAACAATGCGTCAAGTTTAAGTTACAAAATAATAATATATTATGTATACTAGCGACTCACCCTCATTCCGCTCGGGTTCCTCCCTAGGGAAAATTTAGGTTGTTTGTATTTTTTAATGCCGAATCATAAAAAAATCAGATAAAAAAATTGCCCAAAAAAATAAAAATATTTTTTTGGGGTGGACCACCCTTAGGGGTATGAAAAATAGTTTACGTCCTATTCTCAGACTTACTGAATAGACAAAATTTCATGAGAATCGGTCAACCCGTTTCGGAAGAGTTTTGTTATAAACACTAACACGAAAATTTTATATATTGGATAATAATATGTAGTCTATCTATTCCATACTGATCATTACAACATACCTCGGAACGAACCTTAGAGAAGTGAGGATGAGTCCCTAGTTTTGTATAAAATATATTCTGTCAAATATCCCAATAATAGAAATTAATTAAAATCAAATGAGGTTCCTAATTTATGAAACAAATTTTAGTTTTTAGTTTACTATAAAATACATATTAAACTAGCAACTCACAGTCGCTTTGTGCTCGAGTGTGTCCCCGGGTGTCTTTTTGATATACATTTTATTGCCTTATTTCAAGTGTCTTTATCAATGTATGTTGATAAACCAAGGGCCAGTTTCTTTTTGGTTTCAATTAAAGTTATGACTTTTGACAAAAATGAGAAAACACATTTTATATTAGCGGTAATGAGCCGAAAAAAATGTTTAGAATCAGATCTGTAGTTTCAGACATTACACAATCTCTCACTCTCATCACACAAATCACTCTATCCAAATTTAGAGTACGTCTTTATAATATTAGTGTAGATATATTGTCTGCCGATACACATTCTAATTTCGTTGTAATTAAAGTGTGCGAGGCTAATTTGCCATTGATCGTTATATTTAATACATATATTGTATTCAAGGTAGCATAGTAGATAGATAAACATAATGTATTGACTTCACTTAACCCTTTTTTTATTTTCGGAAAAGTTACTTAGTACTTAATTGTGAAAAACATTGTTAAGCATTACTATTAATAATAAATATCGTATTTGTTTTACAGATAGAAGAAGGTGAAATTTATGCTATGATCAATCAAAAAGATGGGATGGTTGTCTTTTTAGACAGTCCCGAAAAATATGCTTCTCCAGAAACCTTATGCGTGTTAGAACAACAAATGGCAGCTTGCACTAAGCTTCATCAATACATTCAGGAAATGGATGAACAAATACAAGTCAATCCTCAAGTATGTTCAAAATGTTTTTTTATTTTAATTTATAAGGACTATTTTGCATAAACAGTTGTGTTGAATTAATAAATTGACACCTTCCATGGCTTTTACTAATCTGATTATTGTTATTTCAGTATGTGAAGAAATCTGTGGGCAGTCATGATGAAGATATGCCAGCTACAAGCCAAAACTCAAAAACCACTTATACTATGTAATATATTTAAATTTACTTTTTTAATTATAAGTTATTAGAAATCCATTAAAAACATTAATAACTTCAACAAACCTCTTTTATTTCCCATTTAATAATAAAATAAGAATAACAACCAAACTCATTCTTATAAAATCAAATTAATAATAATATAACTTAAAATATCAAATATCCACCATTAAATTTGTTTTAGAATTCAATTGTTTAATTTTTGTACACACACTTAAATAGCTTCATGAACTGTCTCTGTAAAAACTGTCATGCTTTCCAAAGGAGTTTGTGGTGTAATTCCATGACCTAAATTAGCGATATACCGAAATTTACCAAATTTTTGCACCATAACTGTAGTTAACTTTTTTATTTCTTCCTGTAAAGAAAAAGAAAATGATAAATGAAAAAAAGAATGATATGACAATATGTAAATATGATTATTTTTTACATTTGTGTATGTTTGTTACTTCTTCAGACTGTTTCATTTCAAATTATTGTATCACAATATTAACGTTCAAAACTTGGATTACAACATACATGCATGCATGACCCACTATGCTAGTGGCGTCGTGGAAATGAATTAATCTAACAATGAAGAGTTTATTATTTACTAGTTATTAGTATATCATATAAAAATTGTGTATAACTGTATATAATAAATATGTATGTAGTATCATTATCGACTTACAGGTGTTTTATACAAGTCTTGAGGATCAAGATTTCCTTGTAAAGTTATATTGTTTCCAACAATTTTCCTTGCTTCCACTGGGTCTACAGTCCAGTCTAAGCCAATAGTTTCATAGCCCATTTGAGCTTGTACATCTAAGGAATGTCCTCCACCTTTTGCAAAGATGGTCTGCAATTTATTTTATCATATTGAACTTAAAATTGACAGTTTTATAATTTTTTTGTATCTTAATCTTAGTTCATTGAAAAAACGTAGATTTTGACATGAATCATAAGGATTAAATTGATATTTTATACTAACCATAGGCACTTGTTCTAAATTATTTGTTTGTAATATTTCTTTCACTTTTGTTCGAATATCTTTTAAATATGGCACAGAGAACTCTATAAATTGTTCCCGTGTAAGGTGGTCTGCACTAGATTCAAACACTTGCAATAACTGGGCTCCACTTTCAACCTAAGTAAGAACAAAATTCATTTTTTTTTTAAGATGACCTAAGTAGACTAGAAAATTTTAAACCTCATGTCGTAGCTCTAATGTATAAAATAAATTTGTTTATTTTGTTTCTAATCATAATTATAAAGTATACATTTTATAATTATTATAATTTTATATCAAATTATTGATAATTAAGATAACATTTTTAAATGTAATGATCATATAGAAACCTACCTGCATTGCTAAATAGTCTATAATAACTCTGGTCAATAAACTTAATAGCCTATGAACATCTTTTGGATTTTCATTTAACCATTCTTTTGTTTTTGCCATAGTTTTACTGCCTCCTCCTTCAATCATGTACCCCATTAATGTGAACTAAAAAACAGCAATTCATCAATTAGTTTATTAAATATATCCACATCTCATAAAATGATATTTGAAACTTATTTTCATTATATTATTATCTTACTGGTGCTCCTGTAAAACCAATCAATGGAACTTTTCCTTCAATTTTGTGTCTTGTTAAAGTAATGGCATCACCAACATATTTTAGTCTAGATACAGCCCCTTCTTCTTTAAGATTATCAATTTCTTTAACATCTTGGAGTGGATTAGGAAAAACAGGACCCTACAATATTGACACATATTGATTAGTAGTAGTGATTTAAGACAATAAATGTTCATGTATAACTGTAATATTAATGTAGCTTACCACTCCAGGATGCATTTCTACAGTCATACCAAGTGCTTGTGGTATAACTAATATATCACTGAATATGATAGAAGCATCTAAATGGTTGTAACGTCTTAAAGGTTGTAGTGTTACTTCACAAGCAAGTTCTGGTGTCCTGCAAACTGTAAAGAAGTCGTGCTTTGCTCGTACTGCTTGGAATTCCGGTAAGTATCGTCCAGCTTGGCGCATCACCCATACTGGAACTTTGTCAACTTCTTTCCCACATGCTGCTTTTAATAATCTATCATTTTTCAATGGAGGAAAATTCTGCAATATTTTCATATATAAATTAAATATAATAATCAATTAGAAAACAAAGAAAGTTATTTAAATTAACTATTTATTCCAACGTACCTTGTTAGAGTAATCCATTTTTGGCTATATTTTATACTATATAAATATATACAATGAAGCGTGATTTTTAAATTTCTTCTTTCTGGTAATTTAGAGGTTTATTTAATAAATTTATGAAAAACACTAATACCGAAACCGGTTGAGCTTTCATTACACAGGAAATGTCAAAATAAAATTGTCAAATCATAAGGTGTCATTTGTGGTGCAATCCATAGTCTCGGGTTTTTAATATCCATAAACAAATCTCCTATTACTTTAAAAAAAAAAGCATTTTTTACTGTTGTTGTTTTGGAAATTGTGTACTTAATAACGATATAAATATATTTTAAATAAAACTATCTTTTCGAATATATTTATAACTTGATTTTTGGTTCCGACGTTTCGAATGCTTTACAGCAATCAAGGTCTCGGGAATGACCGGGTATAAATGAAATATGTTGTTATTGAAAAATCTTGAAGTGTGCTTAATTGACTTAAAGTGGTTTTTTTTTATATCAATTTATCGAATAATGCATGACATGCCATGCCGTGCATTATATTGCTGTAGTTGTATTATATGTCTTTCGTTAATAAGATATTTCAAGAACATAAATTACCTGCAAAATATCTTTTAGCGTTTACCAGATTTGAGATTTCACTCTACTTTTATAAAAATACACTTATAGGACTACAATGAATTGAACGTAAATTAAAAGACTTGCTTATTTATATTTATCCGGCACAAAGTAGTGCCTACTGTCACTCGCCGGTAGGTTCTATTAAAAGAAAATATAACCCTACCAATAGTATAGCTTAATATAGAAAGCATTACTCATTTCAATAATAAAATATTCCCGAGGTAATCTTTAAATTGGATCACTTAATTGTTCATTATATCCACAATAGTTATAGGTACGTTAGTAATTGTACCTATAGTAAGTATTCAAGATTCAAGATGGATACTTGCGCTGGCATTTCCATTTATCTCAAAAAATAGATACACTAGCAGCTCACCCTCGCTTCGCTCGGTTTCGTATCGTTTTAGCGGTTAGTATGGAATAGATAGACTATAAATTACATTATTGCCCCGCTCCTATAGCCTTATAGCCTTCCTCCATAAATGGGCATTCTAAAGCAAAAATATTTTTTTCAAATCGGATTAGTTGTTCCTGAGAGTGTTTAAACAAACAAACAAACTAACTCTGCCTCTTTACATTAGTAGTATAGATTATACATAATGATATAATATATTTTCTTAAGTACTAGCCATAAAAATATGTGTATGTCTTTAACAAAAAGACGTAAGAAGAAGAACCCTAAAACACGTTTCTTTTCTGGGGATTCCCCTTTATTTTTTATTTTGCAATATATCTATTATAAGTTAAACACATAATCTGTGAATAATTCAAAGGAAAGATGGTACCCCTATGGCTTTAAATATGCATTCCTAATTCTCATTAAAATTAAATCAAACAGACATAGCCACAGATAGAAGCGCACACTTAGAAGTAAGGCTTTGTTACACCGATAATAAGATATTAAAACCTGTGTACTCCATAGTTATGGAGTATAATAGATGTCCTTACTTCGTCGAGTGATTGGTGTAAGATTAAAAAATATGGTAAGCAAAACTCAATGGGTTAATTCAGTTTAGACTTGATCCTTCTTGCTTTTTACATGTTATACACATACCTACATATATTCTTCATAGTCCAAGCAAAAAGACGTTTTAACCCGTTCAGGGTCTTGGCTCGTTCAGACACATAACCTCATTAAAGCTCTGTCTGCACATTTACCCTAATAGGGGTACCATTAAGGGTATAGGTACTTACATACAAACAACTACTATTGACTATGCCTACTACAAATATTTTCGTTCTATTTTTTTTTTGCGATCGAGATATCTACTTATTGCTAAATAGCGACTCACCATCGCTTCGCTCGGGTTCGTTCCTGGGTTGCTTCCCCATACAAATTTTAACCCACATTTTTACCCCCTTAAGGGTTGATTTCCGGGATAAAAAATATCCTATGTCCTTCCCAGGGTCTTAAAGTATATGCTTACCAAATTTCATCTAAACCGGTTCAATAGTTTTGGAGCCTATTCGATACAAACGAACAAAACAAAACATTTTTTTCTAAATCGCCGAAAAAAGAACGAGTTATTCCTAGAAAACCAATGGAAGTTTAAGTGAACATTTTCATGGTATATAAAGTACCTATAAGGTTCTATAACTTCTTCATAAAAATCTTAAATTCATTTACTGATTCACTGACGCAACATGGCGCGCCTACACTACTGAAGCAAAATGTTTCTTTTTTGGAGAGCACTAAAAAAGGATTTAGAATCATAGGAATCTAATCTCATTCTAATCTAATATCCATATCCATACTAATATTATAAACGTGAAAGTGTGTTTGTTTGTTTGTCTGTCCTTCTTTCACGTTAAAAGGGAGTGACGAATTGGCGTGATTTTTTGTGTGGAGATAGTTGGAAGGCTGGAGAGCGACATAGGCTACTTTTTACCGCGAGAGATTATCTCATTCCCACGGGAAAACGCGTTATTACAACCCAAAAAATTATTTATGATCAGAATTTGATACTTGGTATTAATGTTCTTCAATACAATTGAATAAATACGTGTTTTAGCATTTTTGGAAATTTATACCATAAGGGGGTAAAACAAGGGATGATAGTTTGTTTGAAACCTACCTTTTTAGAGCTTTTTTGTAGTTTTAGCGCGAGCGAAGCCGCGGGTTTTGCTAGTTGTTAAATAAAAATTATACTTTCAAAATTCCAAAATCAAGCAGTAACAAGTTATCAGAATACGTCTTATAAACTTTGAAAGGTAGGTATACAATTTTGTAAGTTATTTGAGTTAGTAGTATAATATTGTTAATTTATTGAAATAAATGGCAGTGGTGACGCGCTCGCTTGGGAAACTGAGTGAAGCGAATTCAAATCCCGGGTCTCACACCTCTGATATTTTCATGTGCGAATCATTTCCAACATGATTACCACTTGCCTTAACGGTGAAGGAAAACTTCGTGAGGAAACCTGCATGTCTGAGAGAACCTAGCAAGTTTTCTAAAGACATGTGAAGTCCGCCAACCCGCCCTTGGCCGGCGTGGTGGACTATGGCATGATTCCCCTCGTACTGTAGGGAGGCCCGTGTCCAGCAGTGGGACGTAAAAAAGGGCTGAATACACACCTACATTGAAATAAATATTCCAGTAAGAACATCAAGAAGATTTTATATAATAAAATTTCTTATTAATTTAGAATTAAATCAAAAAATATACTTCTCAAAGTTATTCAAAGTCGGTCCAATAAAAGTTAAAAAAATCAGATTGGGACGCTAAGTATACAAAGTTCGCGAGGACTCTTCTACCTGCCATCGCATTTCTATCAAATTGTAAAAAAACATAAATGTGAGGGGTCCACTATAGTTTTTGTTATGCGAGCGACACACTGCGACCTAGCTATATGAAGTTTTTTTGTCAAACCCTTATCCTAGTTGCCTAATAAAGTTTATTCGCTTAAAATGAACAAAGCTACAACTTAGTTTTATTATAACTTAAAATTTTTAATTATATTTGAAGTTTTTATCAAATGTATTGTAAATTGTATGCTTTTAATTTGTTTTTATGCTACTATTTTGATTTTAGACCAAAAGCCTTCAATTTATTCCTTACCATTAATTTTCTGAGATAATATTATTAACGACATTACTTAATTTATTTTACAACCTTTTAAAATAATAAATATAAATGTTATTGAATTGAGATCTCCTTAAAATATAAGAGAGTTGCAACATTGTTACTTTCAATGAAACGTTGCATGTACAAGTGAATAGCAACACATCGGGACACATCGGGACACATCGGGAGTCCGGGACACCCGACACAGGTGCCGCTGTGACTTGTGCATTCTTTGTCGCCGTAGGATCCCTTCGTATACATCAACATTAGAATGCTATTTTATGCATGCACAAAAGAACATTTAGATTTTTTTATTAGCAATATTTTTCCAATTATTTTATTAAAATTTGCATAATAAGTAAATGTTCAATGAATTTCTATACAATATTTATGTAGAGGGATTTTACATAATATACATTTTTTTAACGATGCATCAAATTCAGCCATGTATGTAGCTACTTAATTTCGGTGGGCTTAGAAAATACGAGTATATCTAACACATTGTGTACCTACGATTACGGATATCTTAGCAATTATAATATGTAAGTTGCTACAATTTTTATCGAGGGGATTTATTTCGAAGATACAAACTTATTAATTAGTTTTGTAATTTGTTAACATGTTAGGCAATGCTTATAAAGGGATTCTATTGTATTATTTATTTATAAAAGTGGTGAATGGTGAAAATGAATGAAAGTTTGTTATTCATGTGTTCACAAGACCAGTGGTGAAATTATCAAAAAAAAAATGTTTCTCTGTGTTATACTTGTAAAACGCAATATTTATTTGTAGTTCGAACATAAGCGTATGAATAAATTCTCTTCCGTTTCAATAATATATGAAAAACATTAATTATAGGAACAGTAGTGTGGGAATATTTCTTTTGTTCCAAATTAGAAAAGAAACAATATATTACGCGCTATAATTTCAACAGCCCCGTTACTTATATCTGCAAAAAACGTTGTGTTTTTTATGAAAGAATTCCTAGTAATGGTTCGCATATCTGCGATTCCCTTTTTTGTACATTTCTTAGTTTTTACACACCGTTATCAAAGTTCGGTGGGCACAGTAGGGGCGATTTAGACACAAAATGAGATTAAGCAGAATCGGAGTCAGAAAGGTTGAGGAAATTTCCGAAAGTCATCGTAGTCTTTTATACAGATTTATGAGTAATATTTTATAATCGGATTCTAATTTTTTTATATATTCTTTTTATGTGTCAATTTTATAAAATCAAAAAATTAATTGTGTTCATGTTGTGAATTAAAATGTGTGATAAGGATTATTACTATAATATTTTGTTATTGTTTTAAATGTGCAGTTTTAGGTCAACACCCCAAAAATGGTGTGCGAAAACTTAGTCAAAACTCGTTGACCCCTGATTTGGTTCGTGAGATAATGAAGTCTGCGACCTGCGAACTATGCTTAAAAGCCTTATCAAATAAAACACGAACAGTTTTATATTAACTTGCTATTTTAGGTTATATATTTCGAATAAATTCCCTACATATCTAATGAGAATTAAAAGCCTTTTTAATTCGCCATTCTTATCAATTTTAATTTTTCATAAACCTTAAATGGTTTTTGATTGCTTGATTATGCTATTAAATTAATTGCCTAAAATGACCAGAGTTCTTATATACCTATATTTAAAATTTGACTTCATTTTTTCAACAATACATGTAGGTAATAAAGCAATGAAAATTTAATGATCATAATTACTAGAAAAACTCATTAATAAGAATGATTTATTAATATGCATTTTACGTTAGAGTTAATAAAAGAAAATTTATTTTTGTATGTTTTTTTTATTCATTACCCTTGGCTTCGCCCACATTCAAATTTTCCATCGCTACCAAACTTCCCAGAATCATCCGCTGGGCCGATCTGAAGATTGTTTAAAAATTTCATCAAAATCGCTTCCCGATTTGGAGTCTATAGGGAACATACATACACACACACACACACACACACACACGCAGCGATTTTTATATATGTACATATATAAATAGTTAATTAAATGTTAAAGTCAGAATAGTCAGTAGTAATTATGTAAGATATTATTTGGCATTCATTCACACTACTAAAAATCGTGATCCTCTGGTAGTAGCGATTGTCTTTTATGAATAGTGCCGATATATGTATGTATATTGTAACAACATGTTTATTAATGTAAAGCCAAGGTTTTCATATAAGTTTAAATAGTTAACGTATTGTAATGTTCACCATAAGAAGTATCTAATGATAATATAGCTCGAAGGTGCATGCAAGCAATAGCGAACAATTGTCACTAATGCAGGGCTCAATTTATTTACGAGACAGCGACTAGGGGCGTGCAAGGACACGGTTGTTTATCAATGATGGAATAGGTACTGTACTGTGTGGAATAGGTAGATTGTAATAAAATATGATGTGAATTTAAGGCATATTATGAATTTAAAACAAGCATAAAGAAAAACTATTATGCTAAGTATAAATAACTATTCACGATTTTTGTGTATTGAAGAATTTAAATCTAAATAAAAGTATATAGTAAAATAGTAATAAAAGCGAAATTTGTACATGAAATACTTTTTTAAAACATAACTAACGAAATGTGTACCTATAGAATATAGACCAGAAAATAATAGTAATTAAAATGTTTGTCTGCTTGTTTGTATATCTATGTGCATTTCATGAAAAAAGTACAGAACTGATTTTATCTAAATTTCGTGCAGTGATAACTTATTAATCGGGTCAACATTTAGAGTATCTTTTACTACAGAAATATCTTTTATTCCCACAGGAAAATATAATACCAGGTCCTTGGGTAGTTTTTAGAGATTTACATGGCTAAACCTGGCTAAATCTTAAAAAAATCCCTCGAAAGAATGAACTAAAAAATTGTAGGTTTTAAAAAGGTCTACAGAAAAGTCGGCAATAGTATGTGCCTATATCCTAAGGTATACTCGCAATAATTATATTTATCTATTTAAAACGTACATAGGGACGCACTCGAACTAAGCGATTATAAGTGCTAGTTCATATAAAAAATGCAAAAAGTGCCTTTCTTTTTGTAGAGTCGCTTGTAAAGCGATGAGTGCAATACGTATGCAAGAATAGTATAGACGAGTTTTGATAAAATGTTTCACTTCAAGTACAATTATTATCTTTTCTTCATTCCTAAAATAAGTCGATTATTAAACGTAATAATATCGGAAAGACTATATAAAATAAGAACGCAATAAGCCCAAGGCAATGCAATTAATTACATACGGAAAATTATATTCTTTTTACAATAGGTACATTAATTTGTACGTGTCTTATTACGATTATGCATCGTGTCAGATCATTACCCGAAGGGCTGTGAAGGCTATACAGACGGAAGACGCGTTAAGGCGCTACTCCAAGGTTTTCCCTGTGCGCGCGCAAGAGGAGGACATTGACTCAAGCATTGTAAACAGTTCCTTATCTTGAGCTCGCTTCGATGCCGCTCGATGACTCGCTCGCAGCTTTTATCTAATAGAAAAATGTTACTAGTTACGTGTCTATTTATAAATATACATATTTAACTAAGTAAAGCTTTGTTTTTGTTAGAAATATGCGAGAAAATATTTTTTAATAAATCAGTAATACAATCTCCATATTATATAAATTATAAATCGTTCAAAAAATATTTGCTGCACACCTATTACTTTGCTGCTACAGTGTTCCGCATATCTTTTTTATTATGACTTTAAATAGGGGATAAATATCACGTTTTAAGAATACAGCAAAATGTTTGCCAGAGCTTTCCAGGGGCTGGTTAACTTAGGTTAGTCAAATAAAATTAATAGGGCAGCTGATTTAATTTGAATTACAGATTCTTAGCACTAGTAGTTGTTATTTAAAAATTAATCCCAAAATGAAGAGGAAGTTAGATATTTTGTAAAAAATAACCTCATTGTTATTTATATTCGTTTTTGTTATTTATCTACGTTCATATTATTACATCATTAATTGGCCAAACTGAACTAAGACAAAGAACAATTTTGAGAAAGATTGTGCAGAATGAGTTAAGTCACATCTTAGATTAGCGTTTATTTAATAGATACGGAAGCATGGTCATGGCTCCGATTATGATCTCGAGAAAGGTGTTCATACTAGATAAACTATCGTTGTTGATATGAGCGGTAATTTAGAAAGCAGTTTTTTTGCTTCTACGGACAGCTGCCCACCAATCAAAATGCATTTGCAGTTGGGGTTGCCTCGACTTATTCGACGAGTCATGTCGATTATTTCAGATGTTTTGGTCAAAACTTGAATTAGAATAGCCGAGTTAATGTGAACAAACAGTTAGCCTTGTTAGAATTATGATTAGTCTCATTAGTGCCATAGTGAATTTTTAATAATATTTTTCCGCAATATTGTTTATTTAGAAGAAATACGTCTTTCTAATCAATTTTAATGTTAGATATGTAACCATGGCTTTATACTATAGTAACTACTACTTTACTTTCTGTTACTAAAATAATGTCATAATGAAATATAATAACAAGTATGTTTCACTAGTTAAGAAATTATATAAAATAAACAAACAAAAATCAATTTTACTTGTTAAAATTCGTTACCTTACTTGTTACTAATTCATCTTACTTTATCAGTTGAATAATAAAAACGATGTTGCTAATATTATAACATTTTTTATTAAGTAATATTCAAGAGTCATTATTGTCTATTGAAGGAAGGGAAGGGGCAAGACGAGGCGGCGTGGCTTCGCGTAGGCGCGGCACGACAAGATGCGCGGGCGCATTGCGTCTTTTTAACTTTTTTTGCCGCTTTACCCTTGCCTTGCTTATATGCGTGGCGATCGCCTTACTCTATTTTCTCTCGAACACTGCTTGCAGGTAAATAACTATTCCCCTTTTTCTTATTTGTTTCGTTACGGGTCGAATTTTTTATACGTCTTTCTAGCTTAGCAATGATATGCTATATTATATCTTTCAAAAGAATTACTTACTTGTAGTTTTAGATCTGACCAACAATAACAATATATTAGCTATCATATTATAATTTATTATATAGAAAAATCTGTAGATACATTACATTGATCGATTAACAGTTGTTCCTTTATATTTCGAATAAATTTATATATGACCTACCTAGGTTGCCCGACTATTTGTTACGTTTTCATGACTGAACAAATCTATACTAATATTATAAATGTGAAAGTTTAGATGTTTCAATGTTTAGATGTTTGGATGGATGTTTGTTACTCAATCACGCCAGAACGTATCTGGATGAAATTTGGCACAGAGATAGATTATAGTCTGAAATAGCACATATTTTTCCCCAACCCATTTTTATCCCGAAAAATGTACGGTTCCTGTGGGATAGATTTGTTTTTGTTTTTCTAGAGGCGAACCCGAGCGAATATATTTTAATGCAATTATTCGACTTTAGAACACTTTTTATTAGGTTCAATGTATACTAGACTAACTAATTACTTCATACACACGAATCACAGAGGACAGCAAGTTTATAACTACGTAATGCGGATGAGAAATTTATAATTTGTTAAAATCTAGCACGTGATAATGAAACTAGGAGATGCATAGTTTTCAATAGGTAATTTTAAATGATCTACGTTACGTTTTTATGAGCTCCATAAGATATTGGGATATTATTCAACAGTTATACATATCAAGAATTGAATGGATATCTCTATATGACTAAAAATTACAGTAAAGATATCTATTTTAAAACATTAGCAGTTCATTACATATCTACCTATTAGGTAATTTACAATGACATGCATATTCAAAATAATATTTTAGTTAGTAGGACTACGTCGATACAAACGTGGAATGTTACGCAGAATAATGCACAAGCAGTCCCTATTCTATTCCTGCGCATAAAGCGGACAGAACTCACGACTTGACTAAAAAAACTTAACATAATCAAATATCCTTTGCTTGTCGCTGTCCGCGTAAACTCACATGCCGCACCACACCACTGGAATTAACAGATGCAGCTAATATTCCTATAAGAATTTTGACGGCGCGACAAGGAAACCTGCAGTGTGCAGCGAGCTCGGAATTCGGGTTCGGGGTGAATACCCTCCTGTCGGTAAAAACTATTTTCAAGGTTAGCACGGCGCAAGGAGGGGAGCGTCGCGGGTAGTGAGGCGCAGGGCGAATTCGGCGCGGGGGGTGCGGGAGCGGCTCACGGACGCGCCGAAATGTTGATAGCCTCCGCCCCCGGCCCTCAGGCCCTCCGTTGCTTCAGTGCAGTCTACCATGCGGTTTGCGATGACTTCTAACTTTTTGAACTGACTAACGATTATGCATTGTCATTGACTGATAACTTTCGGTTTATCTACAAATTTTCGATACTTAAATATGGTTTCGTCAATCATATTATCAATGTTTGTTGAAATTGTCAACAAAATAAGATAAGAACTAGTATTCTTATAAGAAGAAAAATGAACACTTGCATTTCAGTGCGTAAGTTACTATGACAAAGAGGTGTTTCGACATTAGTTGATTAGGGAGATTATAGTAAAATTGTAGCTGCCAGGCGGCGTGGGTGTAGTTTACCCTTCGTGTAATTTGCTATTAGTTGACGTTTGCACTGGGCTTTTTACGTTAATGAGCTTCCCTAGTTTGCTTTTTTGGTGCCACGCACACGCCACTAGTACGCATTTTTATGCAAGTCGACGATAAACTCGAAATATGCTTTTAGTACTAATGTAATAATAAAAAAATAATATTAATAAATGTAATAGTATTAGAAACATAACTCTGGAGTTAATTTATAATTTTAAGAATATGTATTAATTTAAAGAGTCATTTTTGTCATATAAAAATATCTTCTAGTTGCTTGAAATCTTAACTTCGCACAAATGGAATGAATATAATCACCAGTTAATTATTTGTTTGATATGTAGTATATTACATTTTTTATGATTGCGGTATCCTAATTATACAAATCAAAATTTGGAATGATAACAGTTTGTTATAAAATTTAAACCAATAAAAAATGTTCATACTTTATATGATTAGGTACTAAGATCTGAATGTCGTCGCAAATTATAAAGAACGACAAAATAAGCTATTTATAAAACCCATTTCCAGTCTCAAGTTTAACGTGAATTCGGGTACCGCGGCATACATAACAATTAAGTGGGCACTAGGATAGTGCGTGCAGTAGGTGCGTGCGATAGCGATCTCCGCGGCCCAACGAGCCCCCCTCGCCTCCAAAACAACATTCTAAGTATTTCTGAGTTGAGGGTTTTTTGCGCGAAGCCCAAGGGTGGCGGAGCGCAATCGCTCGCCAACGCACAAAAAATACTATTAAATAACTCAACAGAACCGCGGGGCGGATTGTGCGTGATCGTGATCCGACCGAATTAACGCGGCGACAATGCCTCAGCTAGTTTAACTCGAGTATTTCTACACCGTTTTTGTTGGCGTGCGCTAGGAAGATTTAATCCATAACAAGATTATTCATATACCTGCCGTCGACTCTTTAAAATATGTTCTAATAGTGTACTAAATAGCAAATATAACTAGCGCTACTTAGCGTTTATTGAATAGCGTTATTAAATTTATATAATCCAAGCTCTACATTTCGTCGTATTCACAAATTCAAATTGTCACAAACTTTTAAAAGCAGTACAGTTCGACTCTGTCTGAACCTGCTCAGATAGAAAAAATATGATCAAAAAACTCGCTACTCGTTAGAATAACGAGATTTCCCCACAGTTTGGTTGCGATTTACCTACTTTTTTCATTAATTTGAAAATAAGTATCATTCAATGAGAATCATGAGTTTTAACGTCTTTTTAACCGACTTATGAGCGCTACGTATACATAAAGATTATATTCAAATTAATTAATTTTCTGAACATTAATTTAGGCAGGATGTAGGAATAAACAATGCTTTTGCAACGATTTTATAATTTACTATATATTATATATTTTCACGCTCATATCACAATATATTTAAAAAAGGCATATTTTCAAACGTCTACTATTTATTTTAATTTTTATTAGTAGCACATGGCTTACATCTTAAAATCGGCAGCGATATTTTATAATGTTTGTACAGCGGCGAGTTAGAGTAACCGTTCATTAAGGTTATGATACTAAATATAGACTAAACATTAAAAGACTAAATCTGTTAAGTACCGCTGCATGTTATTAGTTTCACATTCGGGTAGGTCCTGCTATGAAGTTATTTTTTGCCTCAGATATTCTTTCTTACGTTTTCAGTCAGTGAGCTTGCCAATAATTATATTATTATTATAACTATAATATTGTATAACTTAGATACTCCCTTTGACAAACGAAAATTGCGTAGTGATAATATTCTGTTCTGAAGATTCGATTAAAATCAGATCTCGATCCCGGAGCTACCAGAGCAGCATGCAATTATTTAAATATCCGTGAATATCATAAATAGCTCCTGTGAAAATATGTAAACAAAGATTCGTGTTTATTACTAAATGAAATTTCTTCTGAAAATATTTAAAAGTTATCATTAATGTTTATATACTTAGACAACAGATTAAGGACAAGAGAAAAATATAGGGATGCATCGCAGACTGTGATTAATGATCGCGGAGTTAAATTTGCTAAGTAGGATATTTTGTAACCAAATGCATAATTGAGTGATTTATGAACTCAAACCCATTACTTTTGACACAGCTTGTTACAGAGTGATGAAAGAATTCAGGATTTGAATGAAACATGTGTTCGAAGACATTGCTATTTCATTTAGCAATCGAAATTACGAGAAATCTTATCGGTTAATGATGTTGACTTTGTAAACTAACGACGGCCGCTTTTGGTAACATAACTTGTTTTAAATAAATTTTCCAATAGTTAATGTTACAGAAAGAAACATACTCGTATATGTTACTTTAAATTTTGTTCGGCTTAGTATTCTACTGTGTATACTTATGTACGCACGTAAGAAGTTACACTTCTTTGGCCTAACAGAACAAAAATAGCTAAAAATTTCATGCCGTATATTTGTAAAAGGAATGCAGCTAACTTCATCATGTCGTTTTCGGCTAACATTATGTCGCTTTTTAGCTAACGGTGTGCGCGCGCATCTTAAAAATATTACGCTCATAATTTTTTTCCAAACGTGCCAAAAGAAGTACAACTTCAATAATATATATATATATACTCGTATATATATAAATTAATAATAAGAATAGATGATGTATTTAAAATTACAAATTTTATATTAGGGTAAAACTTTGATATAACAGTTTAGACATATTTTTTGGTATTAGTAATGCAACTTCATTACTGAGCTTTCCCAAATATAAGAATATTTGCGGAATGACCTTTCGTGTGTCCGGCGAGGAAATTGCGCGAAAATATCGATTGTTCTTATCTGATTGGTATCGCTGGCGTGTCGCTCGGTCGCTCACACAAAATGTGAATCAAAATCACGCACGAAACCAGCGATCTGTGGACTAGGAGAACAGCGCATGCGTCCTCTGTCTGACATTATTGGATAAGTTCAACTCCGCCTCCGATGAATAATTTGAAGTTGGCGAAAGATTTCTTAATGCTAATTTAATATATGACAAAATAAATGCATATGAGAAGATATAGAATAATGATTGGGATTCAGGTAGGTACTTAATTATCTTAATTGCCATAAATATTCTGACGTTAATAGTATTCGCGTATCTTTTATCTGATCTGTGTCGAAGAAAGTAGCTCTAAGTCTAATTAATTAATTCGTATCGCACCAATGTTCTTGAAGAGAATTCATTATAATGCTTATATAGTCGTTAGCATGTGAAAGCATTTATTTAAACTAGTTGGCGGCACATTCCACCTGCTATATAATCCGCGCTGTTTCGCAACTGTACATACTAGTAGTATCTATGTCATAGCGTTAGAACGTGACGGCAGTAGCGGGAGACCGATAGGTAGAGAGAGACGCGAGACGCGGACCGGACTTCGCAAGAGGACGGAGGGGCAGAGCTCTGTACCTACTATGTTATCTGTTCGCGAATATTCTTGCGCAACGTACAGCACGGAAAAAAGGTTTCCATTAAGCCCGCAAACATCTTTCGTAACATTGCGACCCTATTCACGCCGATGTCCTTAACAAAGACACGTTTATCAATTGGCTCTATCTACTACGTATTGATTCTCACAAATTGCCATTACTACGCTATAAATAATGAAATAAGTTTGTCGTGATATAGCTATTTATACACGTTGTAAATGTCGGGATAAATGTTGCTATAAAATGAAAATCAATAACATTCTATAAGCTTTTATAAGTGAATAAATTCCATAGAGGGACAAGACATGGTATTTACTTGACATTTTCAAAAATTTATTATTATTATCTCTAGTAAGTTATACCTAAACTTTCCTTGCACTATATGTATATATATGTACCTATACTGTTTCTATATAGATATGTACATGTATGTATAGTTGCAGTATATATACGATTTGTAGTATGCAGATAACATGTATCTGCACAGAAATGACTTCATTTCAATAAATAGGTAGTAAAAAAAATCGTTAAAAGTAGTGATAATTTTTATATTCATGTTTAATACATGAAGAATATCAGAGTCATTTGCACTTCGTTATCGGTGTACGGCAATCGCGGGTCCCATTATCCCATATGGCGACGGCTAGGCGCATGTTGTTACGAAAGCGCGCAGAACAGAAGCGGTTAGATTCGCGCTCCATTACTGCGCCCGCGCCGTCAACATGGCGGCCACGCACGTCCGCCGAGTCAACGGCCTCCACTATACGCTTGCGCAACACCACGCAAATCTCAACGGCAAAACAAAGTCTTTGCTTTGTATGTGTGCCTCGCTACACGCGCGATGTTTGTTTCAATTCTGCGCCAATACACACTAGCATTACGCTTGTATGTACTGGTGAAGGGCTCCAAGTAGATGTTGACCTGCAATACTGATTAAATTAATATTAAACTATACTAATAATGCTGAAGGTTTTCCTATACCTACATACTTATAAATAATACAAGTACATATTAATATATTTTAGTTAAATATTCTTTTAGCAAGATGTAGAATCGTAAATTTGAGGATAAATAAGTAATTAATGATTTAATAGAATTATGATAGCAATACAGGAACACTGAAAGTATATTTTGTTAAATTAATAAATATGTTGGGACATTAACACAGCACCATCTAGTTCCATAGTAAGCTACGAGGTCTGTTTATGGATACCACCAGATAGTTGATACAGTACACGACACACGTATATAACTTTAAATTCCTACATATTATAAATA